TACCCTGCTTCAAACCAAAATGCATGACAACAAACAACCACAATATCATTGGCAAATCTCAAAATGTTAACAATTCCTTCACACACTCAAATGTCGTGTTGTAGTCCACCAAATAAGCTCAAGCTCAAAACCCAACTAAGTATAAATCTTTGAGCAATCTCTATTCAAAGGTGGAAAAGCCTCGGATCTTTAATATTTAAAACCCTACTCCACCAGAATCTGTATTTTAACAAAATTACTAGGTGGTTCATTACAGTACAGCTGACTAAGGAAAACAAATCTCTATGGCTATTTCCAGTTAAGAAATGTCCATAATGGTAGGGAATTACCTTAAAATCTTGAATACTTCATCACATGTAGAAGGCATTTAAATATTTAAATAAAAAATTTTAACCATCATACTCCTTATTCTACTTAATGTCTTTGGTCTCTCTTGAGTTCCCTCTAATTCAGGAGACAGCTTCTGTCCCTACTCCTTCCCTCAAACTGACTTGTTATGGCCACTAACACTCTTCATTAATTAAATCCGATAATTAATTCTCAATCTTCTTCCCTGGCCTATCCGGTCATCTGATTCAATTAAGGACTCCTCCTTGGAACAGTCTTCATTTTGTCTCCTGCCTTCAACCGTTACTCAACTTCCTCTTCATGTCACTGACATCTAGATAACAGAAAATATCCTAACACCCAGTCTTTGACCCTTTCTCTCTCCAGATTCACTTCCTTGGTAACCATGTGTAGTGTCGTAACTTAGTATCTCCATCTTGATAACCTCTATCCTAGTCCTGGCCTCACTCAGTGCTTACCTAGCCTACCTCCTAATCTTGCCATTGTGCCAAGCCGACTCCTTGATCTTCCTGGGCTTGGTAAATGGCAACTCCTTCCTGCCACATGAGCAGACCATCAGTTGGCACCATCCTCAGTTCCTCTTCTCTTTCATATCCCACATGTGACCACCATGGAACTCCACTGGTTCTACCTTCAAAACATGCACAGGATCCAATCACACCCCAGAATCTCCTTCTCTAGGTGAACTGATAGTCCCTTTGCTTTCCCCAACCCTTGTTTGGATGTCACTAAGTGAAGCCTTCCTGGGCCACCCTATTTACAGCTCCAAGTTCCAACACCTGCCTGGCATTCTTGATGCCCTCTCCTATAAACTACAGCACCTTTCATTGATGTACTAGATATTTAACTCATTTACTTCAATTTTGTCTGTGTTCCCTTACTCCACAAATGTAAAACCCAAATCTTTTATTTGTTGTATCACAGGGGCTTAGAACCATGAGTGCCTGGTATAAGGAAGGAAGGCACTTGGTAGTTCTGGCTTAGGAAGAATTTGCAGAGTGCATCGCAGGGAGCAGTGGGCTATGCAATGACTGCAGCACTGCATGCTTCAATAACTTTTTTTTACTAAAATAATTAAAGTTTTCCAAAACAATTACCATAAGAATATTCTTTTGATAAAAAATCTAATTTGTGGGATGGAGAGATGCCCAGCAGTTTAGAGCACTTATTATCTTGAAGAGGACCTGAGTTAGATTCCCAGCATTTTCATGGTGGCTCACAACCATATGGAACTCCAGTTCCCAGGGGATCCAATGCCCTCTTCAGGCTTCCACGGGAAGCAGGTATTTACACACACACAACACACACACACACACACACACACACACACACACACACACACACACACTCCACCCATAAACATAAAATAAAATATATCTATTTTTAGTTCACTGTGAAAGTTTGGTTTTTCTGCATTATTTTCCCCACTGTACATTTTCTACAGGTGCACTGAGTTTTTAAGAAAATGCAAAGTAGCATTTCTAACACTTAAAACTGCTATGAAATTTCATACATTTTTCTTATCTCACTACTATTTCTTTTATCAACCTTTTCAGAACCAGCACTACCTAGTGGCTAATGTTTTGATCTAACTGGCATTTTCATTCAGAAGTGGATACTCACTTTACTATGCCATATCCCAGACTGACTATGATGACCAGGGGGCATTTTCATTCAGAAGTGGATACTCACTTTACTATGCCATATCCCAGACTGACTATGATGACCAGGGTTCGAGCCAGTGAGCGTTTCACCGCTGAGAGCAGCTCTGCAAGGACCAAGGCATCCTGGACTATGTGAAAGAGAGAGAGAGAGAAATGGTGCTGAACTCCAGTTTCAACCACCCACCCCGCAGAATGCAGGTCTCTTAACACTTCAGAATGAGCACAAGTATCAGACTTACTAAAGACAGACTATGTCTTGTACAATTTTTACAAGCACACAGCTAATATCACTAATGAACTTAGATGTGCACATAACAATCTGGGTGTGCTCACTCATCAACTCACCCTAACTTCCCTAAAACCTTAGTAGAAGTAGACTATCTTAACCTATACAGAAAGTTTGTAGTATCAAAGGAATTTCCCTACCATTTTCTTTGTAAACTGAAATACAGTTATACATGGAGAACACATACACACACACTCTAGTGCACGTGCACAGTTTTCAACTTTACGTCTTCTATTTTCAAGTCTTTCCAAAGACCCAGGTAAGAGCTAATTAGCATATCTTGCAACAATAATTATTAATGAACAAATAGTCTGAGAGAAAACTAAAACCATCTCAATAATCTACAATACCAAGTAATTTGTGATAAGCAGTCAACCTTACTAAACCATAAACATCTTCCCATTTTCTTGGTATTACTGTATTTTATCAAGTCTAAGATGCACCCCAAACACACAGGCACAAAAATCTGTGTGTCTTGCAATCAGTGGCATCTTACAATTAAATTGGCCTTGTTTACTTTCTTTCTTAATAGTGGCTTGGCTATCAACCACAATTGGGATTTAAGAAATATGATGATCATGTCCTAAATGACCACTTTTTCTGTGTGTGTTTCAACAAAATTATTCTTGTATCATTGTACCGATGAACCATAAGATTAAGAGGAAAAGTCACAATGACAGTGATTCTGCTTTAGTTATTTTAATAAGTAACTTTTGAAAAGCAGACCTATGTAACCACTGCTGACTTGACAGAAGTTGACATGCATCTCATCCACCATCAAAAAGTGGCAAATTAGGGGCTGGAGAGATGGCTGAGCAGTCAAGAGTTTGTATTGCTCTTGCAGAGGACTTACGTGGTTCCCAACACTCACACTGGGTGACCCATAACTGCCTATAACTTGGTTCCATGAAGATCTGCTCCCTCTGATCTCCACAGGCACCTGCACTTATGTGCATGTAATACCCTCCTCATTCGCCCACAAATACAGATAATTTAAAAAATATAAATCTTTTAAAAAAAGTAAACTTGAGTCTGGTGAGATGGCTCAGCAGGTAAAGGAGCTTGATGCCAAACCTGACCACCTGAGTTCAATGCCAGGACACTCGTGGTGAAAGGAGAGAACTGACTTGCATAAGTTGTCCTCTGACCCCCACAGGCACATGGACCATGCCATGACACATGGACCCACACAAAATAAACAAATACAATTTTTAAAATGGCACTTTTTTAACATACCAGATTCGCCTTTGTATCGGATATTCTGAAATTCTGCATAAAACACGGCTTTCTCAAACATTCCCAGAAAGATGACAGCACCAATCCAAAACTGAATTCTCAGCAGATCTCTCCAGTAGCAAGCAGACCACGCCAGCCAGAGAACACCAAATAGGACGTATACAATACACATCACCATGAAAAACTGTGGTCCAATTGGGAATGAAATAAAAAAGGAGAATTAGGACCAAGAACCAAGTATTTAGATTTAAAATCAACATATGGCATAACAAACCACAAAAATAGACTCGACCTGCTTTTTGAAAAGAAAAAAAATTGTATCTCTAGTGTGTAATACTAATAAACAAGAAAGAATGATCCAGTCTTGAACAGAGGCAGACTACAGAAGGAAGAACTTGTCCTCAAGCATGTCTGCTCTTTGCATTAACTGGGCCTTTTTAACTCACAATCCAGTGATAAAATGAAGACAACAGGGGAAGAGGAAGAGGAAGAGGAAGAGGAAGAGGAAGAGGAAGAGGAAGAGGAAGAGGAAGAAGAGGAAGAAGAAGAAGAAGGAAGAAGAAGAAGAAGGAAGAAGGAAGAAGAAGAAGAAGAAGAAGAAGAAGAAGAAGAAGAAGAAGAAGAAGAAGAAGAAGAAGAAGAAGAAGAAGAAGAAGAAGAAATGGGCCTGACAAGCTGGGATGCAGAATCATGAGGCCATGGAGCACAACTGAAAAGGAAAACTATTAAAGGGCAAGGAAGAGGGAACAACTGTGAGCAGAAGTCTGCACACTCACGTACTAAAGAAGATTCAGGCTTTAGTCACTATGAGTGGGCTCAGAGCTAGATGACAGCGAGGTATGTCCTGCTCAGTACCCAAATGTGAGTTGTGAGGTGGTCACTGAGATCTTTCCAAGTCTACAGTAGTCACTGGTCTTTTCATTTACAGATAAACGAGGCCCAAGGGCTAACTCTTTCAAGGTCACTGTCTGGGTAGATGGCTCAGCATTTACTGCTCTTGCAAGGACCTGGATTCAGTTCCCAACACCCACATGGGGGGTCACAACCATCCTTAACCGTAGTATCCAATGCCTTCACCTTATCTCTGCAGGTGCTAGGCTCTCACATGGTAAACATACAGACATGGTAATCAAACATACATGGTAATCAAACAGACAAAACATTCACACCCATATAAAATAAGAAAATCTCTTTTAAAAAGAAAAGTAAAAACCTCAAGTAAAAATTTCTGAACAGCACAGGAATAATCTTTTAATGAGACAGTGCTACAAAACAGACAATTTTCATGCTAAATTAAATTTCATGCTAAATTAATTTACTGCCAAGGTTAAAAGCACATGTTGACTTACAATCATCAGTGGGTAGTCTTCAAGAGTGAGGTATTCATAGGGACCCTTTACTTCAACAGTCACTGGCAAAACACAGGCCTCAATTAATTTGATAGATTCAGTAATTAAACAAAAAACTCTGATTAATGATTACTTTATTAAATTAGTGAAAGTTTCATCAACTCACTTTTAAACACTTCAGTCATGGTGAATAATACATTAGATATACACAGTAACTTGAAATCCATGTATTAGTCTCATGGCTCATCCACAATCTAGTCTTTCTGTTTGTTTGTTTGTTTGTTTGTTTGTTTTGAGATAAGGTCTCACTATGTAGCCCTGGCTGTCCTGGAACTCACTGTGTAGACCAGGCTGGACTCACAGAAATCCACCTGCCTCTGCCTCCTGAGGGCTAGGATTAAAGTGTGCCACTATGCCTGGCTCACACTCCTGTCTTAAGTGGGAAAGACTCCTTCCAGATTCATATTCTCTGTGTGTGTACAACGTATTTGTGCAGGTTGTGTGTTCATGTTTGTGGAGGCCAGAAAACTGTATCATTCTTCAGGTGCTATGCCTGATTCCCCCACTACCTTCTTTTTTGAGACAGGGTCTCTCACTGGCCTAGAAAGCACCAAAAAGGGTAGGCTGGCTGGCCAGGAAGCCCAGGGGAGTCTGCTTTCACTGCCTCCCCAGTGCTGTGATTACAAGTGTACACTACCACACCTAGCTTTTTCCCCTATGAGTGCTGGGAATACAACTGGGGTCCTCCGTGTAAACACTTCACAAGCACTTTACACACTGACCACCTCAGTCCCACACTCACATTCTTTAAAGACTAAATGACATTCCTTCACAAAGCCATCCCTGAGCTTCCATCTAGAACTATTCCACCTACTTTAAACTCCAAACACTCAGCCGGGCGGTGGTGGCGCACGCCTTTAATCCCAACACTCAGGAGGCAGAGGCAGGTGCATCTCTGTGAGTTTGAGACCCGCATGTGCTACAGAGTTCCAGGAAAGGCGCAAAGCTACACAGAGAAACCCTGTTTCGAAAAACAAACAAACAAAGAAATTCCAAACATTCTTGGTATACTTCTTACAATGTATTCCTAATATTCTTGTCTTCTGTCCATCTTTACTATATTTCCCTAATTTTTTTAACTTATTTTTTATGATCTTGCAAGACAGATATCACTTTCAAAATGAGAGTATTTTTTAAAAAGCTTAAATTCATAAGGATTTATACAAGTAATACACTGTCCCTGGTAAAATAAGATATAAAGACAATCCAGCAGCTCCCTACTTATATAAGCAGACTCTTCACTCAAGAATGAAAACCAAAGCTAACAAAACCAAAAAGAACCCACACAAGTTCAGATCAAAGCACAGCACCATTAACAAACCAGAACCGACCTTTCCCAGAACTTGCTACCAAACATTTTGCAGAAACCTGACTAATACATAGCATTTACGGAACAACAACAACAACAACAACAACAAAAAGTGTTATCTACAAGATGAATCAGAGAAATCTGCCTCACTGAAGTAACTCTACTGATCGTAAGATGAACGTTTTGAGCCAGTTATGGTGGTACATGACTACAATCCAAGCATCTGGAAGAAGCAGGAGGATTCAGAGTTTGAAGCCAGTCTGAGCCATGAGACCTGTCTCAATAAAAGACTGATGGTTTAAACACTGCCACTGGTAAAAAAGTTGAATAAACTCTACGAATGACTGATAAGTGAAACTCTGATGTAGCTAGCTGGGTTTGGTGCCTGACTGTAACTGTGGCCTCTGATGCCAGGCTCCATCAGAGGCTTTAATGAGACAATGAAAGAAGTCACAGACTTATACTCTCAGCATTTGGGAAACTGGGGAAGGAGGATTGTTGCAAGTCTGAGGCCAACCTGGATTATACAGCTAGACCTTGTCTCAAAAACAAATCAAACGGAGACATCTGGGCTAAGCACAACACTTGCACAGCATACGTGAGGCCCTAGGTCCAATCCCAGCACTGGAAAACAAACAAACAAACAAACAAACAAACAAACAAACAAACAAACAAGATGAAAGAAAAGAACGTTCAGAGAGATAATTCTAGACTTTCAGGTGGTATTGTTAAGCATGCTTTAATGTGTCCCCTCAGTTCCAAAAAACAAGTATGTAACAAAAAGAAAAGAAAAAGCAAGATATTAACTGTGAAAACAAGACAAATATTTCCAGGAGTCGAAATGGAATGGAAACACAGACCAGTACAGGAGACTAAAGCCACAGTCATGTTGTACTCTGGTCACAAAAACAGGGTATGGCAGTTTATATGTAGTTCTTTTGCGCTCACTAAAACTAGTGAGATTCAAACAGGAAAAAGGGACCAGAGTCTGGTTAGATGCACAAAGTGGGTAAAGCAGGGCCTCTCTCCCTCTTCTTTATGAATCGATTGAAAGTAAATACCAGCAACTGCTCTCTTCTGCTTTTTTTTTTTTTTTTTTTTTTTTACCTGTTAGAAAGTTGTGAACCTAGAACAATGGTTCTTACCCTCTGGGTTGCAACCTCTTTTGGGGATGAAGGGTCCTTTCACAGGGGTCACATATCAAAAATCCTGAATATCAGATATTTACATTACGATTCATAACAGTACCAAAATTACAATTATGAAGTAGCAACGAAAATAATTTCATGATTGGGCATCACCACAACATGAGGAACTGTATTAAAGGGTCACAGCAATAGGAAGTCTGAGAACCACTAACCTAGAGAAATACATATTCCAAGGTCTAGAAATTATGTCAGGTCACTACCTGGTCTGTCTAGATCTGCTATACCCCTATATCACTATGGGGCAAAGCAAAACCTATTTCTGAATTGGGAGTTAAGGACTCACTATAAAAATCATAAAAATTTAAAAGCGAATCAAATAAGAAAGGTCAATGAAATACACAAAATAGTTGGGAAAATTAACAAAGCCAAAGCTAGTCCACAGGGATAAAAATAAAACAAAATTCCACGGAGACTTAACAACCTAAAGAACACAAAGGCAATACTAAAAGACTATTATTTACGTAATTCATGGTTTTGTGTGTGTGATACATGAGTGTACACGCTGTGTGTAAGCATGCATACATGTGTGGAGGACAGAGGCTGATATCAGGCAGCATCCTCAGTTGCTCTCCATCTTAAATTTTGAGACAGAGTTTCTCACAGAACCTGGCACCCCCCCACTACACTGGCTGGCCAGCAGCTCCAGGGATCTAACTGTCTCTGCCTCTCCTGTGCTGGGATTACAGAGGTTCACCACTGGGCCAGCTTTTGAGCTGAAGGTTAGGAATCCAATCTCAGTCCCCCACATTTGAGTGGCAAGGACTTTACTGACTGAGCCACCTCTCCAGCCATCACTTCTGGGGTTTTGTGACAGGGTCTCATATACTTCAAGCTAGCCTCAAATTCACTGTGCAGTCAAGGATGGCTGTGAACTCCTTGACCCTTCTGCTTCCACTTCTTGACTGCTGGAGTTATGTGTACCCACCATGCCTAGCAATATTAAAGATTATAAAAAGGAATAGACAGAGATACTTGTAAAGAAATAAGAAAAACTTGTCAATAAATTTGAAATCTTGAATGCAATCAACACTTTCTCAAAACACATGCATGCCTCTGATACGAGGAAAAAGAACTAGAATAGTCCTTTCTCCTATTAAAGAAAACCTACAGAGGTTGGTAGACACTGAGAATCAGATTCCAATAGTAGTGTAAGGAAAGTTCTAACAGAAAAAAACAGGTTAGTTTACTCTTTACAACTGTTTGCAAACTATAAAAATAGGGACATTCTCTAATACACTATATGAGGTTATCATAATCTGGATGCCAAATCAGTGAATGACAGTGTGAGGAAAGAAAATTATAGGACAACTTATTATGAACAGAGACTTAAATAAACAAAAATGGAAACCACGGAAACTACAACAGTTACTGCAAAATTCCAGGTAAAAGGTAAAGACTCTGAACGTGACGTAGCTACAGAAGAAAGGAACTGGAGAGCCGGCTCAGCAGGTGAGAGTACAAACTCCTCTTTCAGAAGACCTGAGTTCAGATCCCAGCACCCATGTTGGGAGGCTTACAGCCACCTGTAACGCCAGTACAGGAACCTCAGCTCCTATGGACAAAACTGCACTTAGATACATAATTTAAAAATAATTTTTAAAAAAGAAAGAAAAACTTTTCATGTTAAGAAATTATCAATGATTATTAATTTGAAATCAAGTTTTTAAAAGTCTACTTCAAAATACTAAAGAACACTAAAGATATTCATAGCAAGAAAGCCAAAGCAAGTAAAATAAAACCAAGTATCTGATCCATAGAAAGTGCGTGGGTTGTGCCTAGATGTACAAAAGTGTTTCTAACCTTCCCACTTCGTATAGCTCATGCATGAAACAAAGAATCTATTTCTAAAAGACATGACTGAACTTACTGGTAAAAAGATTGCTCAGTGCACTTTCCTTTGGTGATTCCTTTGAGGACGAAATGCCAACATGCACGATAAAAATATACGGTGCATCTTGCCAAGTCTGCAATGGTTCATGCAGTGCCTAGGGAGGAACGGAGGCATCAAACTTCAAGTCTCAAGAACTCAGAGCACAAGATAATAATACAGTACAAAAACACTGCTCCAGATTACAGCCCAGAAATGCAGTGGAGTACTTCAGCTTTCATTCTCTGAAATAGTCATCATAAGCAAGACAAGCTTGTAGAGCACACAGCAAAGTAGGCAAGATCATGAATTGATAAAACACAGTCCTTTGCATTCTTGCCATAACAAAGGTCTAAATTTAACATTTTTATTTTTTTACAAAGAAAAACCACAATTAAGTCATTGAGTTTAGTCTCTAACTCATGCTAGGATAATTTTATTTTATATATCTACTGTGAAATTAATTTAAAATAAAAATTACATCACATAAAAAATTGTTGATGTCACTACAGAAAAAAAAAACCCACATATATGAGTATAAACACACTCTCTCTCCTGAACCAAATTCCTTTTTCCAAACTACCAGAATCTATTCTGACATGGTCTCACATTTAAATAAAAACTTTCACCTTAGCCTACTCTAGGTGGTGGGAATGCAGTGATTTTTGCCTCTTTAAAATCAGGGAAATTAATAGTCCTTGACTCTAAGAGACAGTGACCCTTGCTTTCCTCATTCAAGAGTCTTTACAAACAAGATTAAAATATAAAGATAAAGGAGATGTGGAGGTGCAGGGAATCATGGAGTTGGCCTGGTCTAGCTGCCTTGAGAGGCATGCATCATAGGTTTTTCAGGTTAGGGTCCATGACTCCTGGGGCACTGTGTGCCTTTCAGTTCCTGAGAAACCGGGCACCCCCTCAGGTAGTGGAGCATGTAGACCACTTGTGCATCTCTGCATTCCCTAGAAGTCAGTGAAGGATATAGAAGTTTGACAGAATTAGTCTTAGACATTGACCTTGTGTACCCTGTATAGCTTGCAAACATCACTGCATTCTGGCAACTACAACTGTATTCTTCTTGGCAACCACCATTATGTTCTGTTTCTGATAAGGGTATAAAAAGACTGATTGCTTGCAATAAGCTTGTCTCAGCCTCAGTCTTGCTGAGACCTCTCCAACCTGACCTGATTTTAATTTCCACCAACCATATCAGGAGACCCTGTCTTGGTAAGCAAGCATTGGCGCTTACCATGGAGGAAAGTCTCTTCACCTGTGAAAGGAGGCACCGCTATTTAGACTTGCAGCTGGTTACTATGGTCTTAAAAGGAGAAGGTTTTACCCAGAGTTCTCCAGGTAAGCATTACTGACCTAATGAAACCCAACAGATTTTACACATTGGTACATTTTACCCCTGTGGAATCATGCTTTTCCTCTAGGAATCAAAATGTCCTACAACCCAAGGAAACTTAGAATGCAACAGATTCCATGACACAAATCCCAAGTCCATGAACAGATACATCGTTCAGCTCTACATTCACTAGTTATTTCACTAACAACTTCATGTCATGCTGAAACCATACTTGGATCCCTGCCAGTCTCTCTCTTCAAGGAGGATGCTGGGAAATGTACAGCTTTAAAGTCGTAAGCATCCTATGTTCTATTACTCACAATTACTGAACCTTTCCTGAACTTAGTCATTAACCAATTAGAGTAATAAACTGCTCTGCTATTAATTTCTTAACTACCTCTTATAAATTCCAAGATGTACTGATTAATTTTCATAGTTAAGATTTGACAAGTGTAGTAGATCTCAGATCTAGAGATTTTTAATCTTGCAAAAGCAGCATCTATATGCCAGGCACTCTGTTAGGGATGTAACATTTGCTACATGTTTAGTCTTAACAAACCTGTCAGCTAAGCAGTTACTATTGTTTGATTTTATTAATTGAAGTAGATTTCATATATGTCATAATCTTAACCATGTTACTGGGCATAACATAATTCAATGGAATGTGACACCGAAACTTTTTTGAGACAACGTCTCTCAGGCTGATCTTTAACCCTTGTGCTTAAGTAATTCTACTGCTTTGGGTTTCTAAGTAGCTGGGGCTCTAGACACATGCTACAGTGCCCAGCTCCACAATATTGCTAACCTCCCAAAAAAGTAGACCCTTGTTCATTAGGCAACAATACTGCACCTCTCCTTCCCACCACCACTTGAAACAACTACGCTACTTCCTGCTTCCACAGACTTGCCTACTGTGGACATTTCATATCAGTGGGATGAATTAAACAGTGTTTATCCTTTAACATCTGACTGGTCTCATAGTTTCCTAGTTATCTATGTTATGGCACATATAACTACTTCATTTTTGTGAATGAATAATATTATAACTTAGAAGCATAAAACCTTGTTTCTTCACTCCTACTTGGAATCATGTGAGAACCCCAAATCCTAGAAATTCATGCTAAATGTAGAAAACTTTGGCTGTTGTTTATTCTTACACCTCTTTTCTCTTCAGATTTACACAATGATCTACATGATGGACGCATAGGTCTTCAAGGCTTTGTTCATTTGTGTTCATCCTTTGCTCTCTCTGGTCCTCTCAACAGTAACTTCAACTGATCAGCTCAGGATGCACCTGTTCAAGCAGTGACAGCACCTCAACACTTCTTCACTTCAGTCAATGCTCTTTTCAGCTCCATGGTTTCCATTCTGCTGTTTTGTGACAAGGTGCCACCATGAATCCTAAGCTGGCTGCAAACTTATTGGAATCCTCCTGTTTCAGCCTCCCAAGTGCTGGTTTACAGCACTTACAGAAAAAAGTCACTATATGTGTCTCAGCTTTGCGATTTCTACTCACTCCTTTATATAACTTTATCTGTTTCTTCCCGGTTCCCCTTTGCACTTTGTCCATTCTTTCCTTTCATTCTTGTGAGCACATTTAAAAAAGTTCATTTAAAGTTTTTTCTAGCTGGAGAGATGGCTCAGAGGTTAAGAGCACTGACTGCCCTTCCAGAGGTCTTGAGTTCAATTCCCAGCAACCACATGGTGGCTCACAACCACCTAATGAGATCTGGTGCCCTCTTCTGACATGCAGGCATACATGCAAAAGAATACTGTATATATAATAAATAAATAAATAAATAAACTTTTCTACATCTAATGTGTGAATGTCTTCAAAGGCTTTCTAGAAATTCTGTTTGAATTCGCCACTTTCTTTGCATAGCTCATAGCTGTTTATTGAAAACAGAACACTGTGGATGACAAAAGATCCTGCCCCTTCACTGATGGTGGTAGGGAGGGGAGTGGGTGCTCTGAAGTTTTGTTTGCTTAGTGGCTTTTCTAAACTATCTTTATCAATTCTATAGACTCTGCCCTGTGTGGCTACCAGCATCTGGGTTTGTTTATCTGCCTGCCTGACTCCTCCCTTCCTTTCATTGTTTTCAGTTCTGGAGGCTGAATCTAGGACCTCACACGTGCCAGGCAAGCATTCTACCACTGAGCTCCACCCCAGCCAAGACCGTGTTTTTGTAGCTGAGTGGCTAGCCACTATTTTAACAAGATTTCCTAAAACATCAGGAGCTAAATAAAAAGGAAAAGAGAAAGATCCAGCCCTAGTCCTTGCGGACTGGAGCAAGCCTTCACTCTGTGTGCAGTGAGAAGGCCAGCTGGCATGAAAGCTAGTGATAGTCTCCTCAAAGCATGTGTCCTGCCCTAGCATACAAGAGCTTTTCAAAGCTTGTTTCCCCCAATATCTCCTTTTGGCCTTGTTCTTTCCAGGTTTTGTGGTCTTATCTATTGCTTGCCCACTTTCCCTATGATGGTGCAATCCAGAACTTTGACTCTAAATACATTCAGCAAATACAACCAGGATGTCACTCAGCCTTAGGAATGCTTAGGCAAAATATAGGCAAGTCCTTAAACAGATTTTATCTGTGAGCTGTCAGTCCAGACAAAATCACAGCCAAAATTCTTGAGTAAATTCTATATTTATATCCCTGGCACCAACAAACTTATCAAGGACTGTAAGTTGCCATTATCTGGGCAACATGCCTGATCTGGGAAGCAAAACACCACAGCATTCATCAATGCAATGCAGCAGCTTCCTTCTTCAGTGAGATGGATCAACCAGTTAAGATCTTGCCTCAGAAGCCTGGTGACCTAATTTTGATGCCCAGAACCAATATAAAGGTGGAGGAGAGACATAGCTCCACAAAGTTGTCCTCTGACTTCCACGTGTGACCATGACATGTACACCCCCTCCCCCATCTAAGAGATCATGAAAGCTGCATGTCATAATTTAAAACACAGATACTCTGAGAAAGATATACTACATGGGTAATTGTGTCTCTAATACATTATATCTTCAGTCAAGTAATAAACTATGAGAATTAATACAAAACTAAATACACCTTTACCATATAATCCATCAATTATGCTCCTTTGCATTTACCCAAATAAACTGAAAATCTATATCCACACAAAAACCTCACACAAATGTTTACAGCTAGAATTTAAAAGCAAGCATGATGTCCTTCAAAAGTGAATAGATACCAAACAGTGATATAACCAAACAATGAAATATTACTCAGCTCTAAAAAGAAATGAGTTATCTAACCACCAGAAAATATGAAGGAACTTCAAATGCGTATCATGGAGAGGCCAATATGAAATCTGAAAAAGCTGTAAGTTCTCTGACCATAATCAGGTGATATTCCAGAAAATGCGGAACTAGATAAACAGTAAAAAGATCAGTGATTGTCAGGGTTTAGGAAGACAGAGATGAAAGGCAGAGAATAGGGAATTTTAGAGCCCTGAAGCTAACTCTGTGTAATAGTACCATGGTGGAAATGTTATTGTACAGCTGTCAAAACAGATAGGATACACAGACCAGGCTGCCCTGGAACACACAGAGATCCACCAGCCTCTGAATGCTGGGATTAAGGTGTGTGTCAGCATACTCTGTCCCATTAATTTTTTCAAGTTATGATCAACTATATGGCAGCCACAAGAAAAGGCAAAACAGCCTTAGAGGTCCCTGAAAAGACCATTCACTTGCGTTGACTGGCAAGTTGCTAAAATCCTCTAATCTATGGGTTCTTTCTGCCCTGACTTAGAATTCCTCAGTGTACATGACACTTGTCCAAACCACTCAACAGCAGCTGTTGACCATCACAGCTGCCTGGTGTGACAGAAGCAGCTGCACTTGTCCAGAAGCTGAACAAAACCTCCGAAGAAAAAATTGTAGAATGGGGCGCTTGTGTGGAGTCTCAACTCCAAACTACTCCTGGAAATCTCAACAGCCACTCACATGCAGGGCTATACCCAGGCCCAGGAGAGAGCCAAGAAGGCTCTCCTCACTCACCCTGGGCAGGTCTAAGCAGGCAGGAAGAAAGGCTAAGGCAGAATTGTTAAACTGAGAAAGAAGTCACACACAAATCATGTGTGGTATGATTCCATCATAGAAAATGCTTCAGACAGACAAACCAGCGAGATGGCAAGTCTAGTGGCTGAGGACAGAGAGACCCTGGGGGAAGGGAGAGGTATGGACTGACAGTGGGTACAGAGTGGTTGTGTAACCTGTGAATACACTAAAGCCCACCAAATGCTATCCTTTGAAGGATGAATGTGTGATGTCAAGTATGTCTTGATAAAATTGTTACAAAACTAGAAACATAAGGCAGGAATGTGGCCCAGGCGCTTAGGAGGCTTGCCTGGGTTATACAGCCAGTCAGATTTTGTGAAGTGAACAACCCCCCCCCAAAAAAAAACCATAAAAAAACTTAAAAAATTAAAACTTTTTAACAGCTTTGTGAAAAATATGATCTAAAATGGTTAACTATATATTTCCTCTATATTTTAAACTGGAAATGTTTTTAAGGAATTAGTTATATAGTTGTTTTTTTTTTTAAATCTTACATGTATGTGTCTATGTGTCTGCCAAGTGTGTGCAAGTACCAGTAGATTCCAGCAGAGGCCAGAAAGGGGCGTGTGGGGCTAGAGTTAGTTACAGCTGGCTGTGAGCAGCTCATATAGACACTGGGGCTACAGTTACAGCTGGCTGTGAGCAGCTCATATAGACACTGGGGCTAGAGTTACAGGTGGCTGTGAGCAGCTCATATAGGGACTGGGGCTAGAGTTACAGCTGGCTGTGAGCAGCTCATATAGACACTGGGGCTACAGTTACAGGTGGCTGTGAGCAGCTCATATAGGGACTGGGGCTAGAGTTACAGCTGGCTGTGAGCAGCTCATATAGACACTGGGACTACAGTTACAGGTGGCTGTGAGCAGCTCATATAGACACTGGGGCTACAGTTACAGGTGGCTGTGAGCAGCTCATATAGACACTGGGGCTAGAGTTACAGCTGGCTGTGAGCAGCTCATATAGGGACTGGGAACCAAAAAAGACCTGGGTCCTCTGGAAGAGCAGTGCTGCTCTTGACTGCAGAGTGATCTCTTCCAGCCCCAGGAAACAGTTATAAACGAGCCTCACACAACTGTATTCATAAAAATCACAACTAGTTTTTGGCCTTATTTCATTTTTCTAAAGTTTCTTCCAGTTACATTCTACCACAGATAATTTCAGATTGAGTTTAAATTTCTTTGAACTAGTTTCTTCTTGTTTACAAATATTTATTAACAGAGGGGAAGGACTCCCAAGGCAATACAGGTGAAAGAAAGAAAGAAAGAAAGAAAGAAAGAAAGAAAGAAAGAAAGAAAGAAAGGCAGGAAGGAAGGAAAGAAGGAAGAAAAGAAGGAAGAAAGAAAGAAAGGCAGGAAGGAAGGAAAGAAGGAAGAAAAGAAGGAAGAAAGAAAGGAAGGAAGGAAGGAAGGAAGGAAGAAAGAAAGAAAGAAAGAAAGAAAGAAAGAAAGAAAGAAAGAAAGAAAGAAAGAAAGAAAAAATATCAGGTGGGAGAGCTGCCCCTGCACCTCACCAACTGCAGCACTCGGGAGAGTGGGTCCTGCACCTCATCTGGGCAAAACAGGAGAGCTGGCCCTGGAGGTATGGGTGTAGGTGAGCCAGTCCCAAGAGCCTGAGAGAAGGAGAACTGGCCCCACCCCTTGCTGCTTGCTGCAGTGGGTGAGCTAGCTGGGGCAATGCTGGAGAGCTCACCCTGGTGGTGACAATGAGGGAAAGCTGGTGGGCTGACCAACCTGGCTACCATCCAGGCCCAGAACCAGGGCTATGGGTTGGCCCAACATCCACCTCATATAGGATCTGCTGGAGCATGTGAAAGAGCTAGATCTGCAGATCCAACGCTGCAGGATCTCCATGACACAAGGCAACAACAGGATACCCAAGAGGAGTCCCAGTGAGGGCCCAGCATCGAGGGTGTAGCAGAAGCCAGAGGCCTTGAACCAGACCAATGAATGAGTCATTGCAATGAACACTTGCACGTAAAGACGTACAGAATGACGGGCAGACTGTGTGACCCACTGTGTCACACTACAGCTTCCATGCCAAGGCTTTTTTTCCTTTTTCTTTTTTGTTTTTGCTGTTTTATTTTATTGGGTAGGGGGCAGGGGGGGTTGCAAGGGTAGAGGGCGGATATGAAGGGACGGGGAGATAATGGGATCAGGAGGCAGGATGTGAAATCCATGAAGAATCAGTAAAAAGTTAAAAAAAAATCTAGAAAATACAAAGAATAAAAACCACTCATAGTAACATCTAGAAACAGCCATTATCACCATTTTGGTGTGCAGTGTCTAGTTTTAATTTCCTTCTTAAATGTTACAACACCAAAAGAAAACTATTGGAACATCAAACATACATGCTAATGCCCCAAATGTCCAAATACTTACAATTTTGTCTCCTGTAAAGGTAAGGTTTGTTCCATTCTCCTTAGACTTCAATTTAAAAAAAAAAAAAAGGAAGAAGACAGAAAATTACTTCAATTACTTCATAGTTTTTACATTGTTCTCAGAAATATGTAAGGAAAAATAATTACCTCCTGTTTTTCTCCTAAAAGAGGAAGTCGATGCATAAGATCCCCAGAAAAGCTCTATTAAAAAAATAAATAAAGATGTATAAATAGTAAAAGTTCAAAATACCTAGAAATGGTTAAAGCAAAACATACAACAATGCAGTAAAAAATAACAGCATCAGCAAACAAAAAATTTACAATTTCAAAAAAGTGAAGAAAACCCTGCTGAGCATAACATGATCCCAAGTGCCCCGCAGTCTTTCCATGAGGAGAGCAACCTGGAATGCCAAAGCCTTAGACAGAAGACACATGTGTCAGGTGGAGATCAGCAGAGTCCCTCTCATTCAAATCAACGAGACTTAAAGTCATTAGTACTTGAGGCAATAGACAGTGGGGATGACTATACAGCATGAATGAACTCAAAGCTACCCAATCCAACATTCAGAAATACGTAAGACAGCAATGTAACTTTCACAAGAATCTGCTGATAACACAGATCAAAAGTGCAGCTCTCCTTAACAGGATTCAGATCTCTTCTAGAAGAAAGAACTAGCATATAAACAATGGACACAGGAGAAATTCAGACATTACGGTTTGGTTTGTTTTGTTTTTCACCTCTTCTGTTTCCTCCCAACCACTGTCAGAGGTTACCTGTGCTTTATAGAGTTCACTACAGTTCTGAAATAGTTTTGATGACGTTTGATATCTTCCAGACAAGCCTTTTTTTTCCTTGAGATTTTCCAAATATTTCTCTACTTCTTCTGCCTAGAAAAAGAGAGAAGATACAAAGCTTTAGCTCACCTGTTGCACATCAGGTTATTTGGAGGACAACAAAGCATCAAACTGTAGTACAAATATAACTGCCACTTTAAAAACCAACAGGAGAGCCTGGGAACATGGCTCAGGTGCTAAAGTACTTGTGTTGAAAGCACAAAAACTTGAGGTTGAGCTTCAGAACCTATCTAAAATAAGCTGGGCATGGAGGGGAGTCTTTGTGATCCTAGGGTATGAGACGTGGAGGCAGGCAGGGTCCTGGGGCTCACTGGCTGGCCAGCCAGCCTAGTCTGCTTGATGAGATCCAGGCCAATGGCAGACCTTGTTTCAAAACCACAAAGTAGAGGGCATCTGAATAACACCCGAGGCTGTCTTCTGCACACATATGCGCCTGGACATGCACAGGCACACAAGCACACATTCATTCTCATTCTCTCTCTCTCTCTCTCTCTCTCTCTCTCTCTCAAGATTACATGATGGCTGGCAAGATGGCTTAGTGGGCAACCTGTGACAACCTGAGCTCAATTCCCAGAACCCACGATGGAAGGACAGCCAACTCCTTAAAGTTTCCCTCTAACCTCCTCCACAGTGTGCTAGGACTCGGACACACACACACACACACACACACACACACACACACACACACGAATGCACACACGCATGCACACACTTTTTAAAAGACTATATAAAAGTATTCAAGAATCTAAAATTAGAACCTCACTACAAAAATCTGGCTTCAGTGAAGGGCAAGAAACAAATTCAGGTCAAGATAACTAGAAAATGCGATTTTCCCTCATATTTGCCTCACCTTATAAAAGAACAGATGGGGTTGGGGATTTAGCTCAGTGGTAGAGTGCTTGCCTAGCAAGTGCAAGGCCCTGGGTTCGGTCCTCATCGGTCTTCATCTGGGGGGGGGGGGGGGGATTAAAAGAACAGATGGTGTCCAGCTTCTTATCACAGAAAAACATATGCCCCTTTTCAAGATGTAAAGAAAGTATCATGGCTGAGGGACTGGATAGCTCGCTCAGTGGTTAAGATTACTTGTTGCTCTTGCAGAAGAGCCAGGTTCAATTCCCAGCACCCACATGAAGAACACAATCATCTGTAACTCCAGATCCAGAGGATCTCACACCCTCTTCTGACCTCCCCAGACACCAGGCATGCACATAGTGTACACACATACATGTAGGCAAAACATTCATATACATAAAATAGTAAACTAAATAAATCCAAAAAAATATTTTTAAAAATCACGCCTCGGAGAGGGTCAGTGCCGTGTCCTTGCTGACTAAAGGACTTGACAAGTACCAACAAAATCCGATATTAATGGTAAAATCAAGACTAGTTAGATGGCTCAGCAGTTAGATTTTTTTTGTCACTAAACATGATGACCCCAGCTCAATCCCCAGAACCCATGTTGTGGTGGAGGTAGAGAACGGACTCCCACAGGCTGTCCTCTGACACACAGTATTTTAAAAGAAGGATCTACAATTAAACTATGAAGTACAGAATTCTGGGGCAGGAGCATTTGCTGTTGTTCCCGAGAACCCACATCCGGTTCCCAGAACACATATCAGGTGGCTCACAGCAGCCTGTGACTCTAGCTGCAGAAGACACAGCACTCTCTCCTGGTATACATGCACTCAGGTGACACAAACATGTGCAAGCACACACACAAATAAATAAATAAATCTTTAAAATAATGCACAAAATCATAGTCTTTGGCTCCCAAAAAGTAATTCTCTAACAGTTCTGAGAAGACTAGTAAATTTTCAGGTACAAAGGGGTTTTTAATCACATGGTTACTTGACCAAATTAACAAAATCTACAAAAAGACCATTTATGCTCATAAGCTTACAATGTAAAACTCTTGTTGCCAATCATAGCCCATTTCTGATAGTCACACACACACAAAAATATCATGTATCAGTTCTGTGATTTTTCTCTCATACCCAAACCACATTCATCAGAAAGGCTTCAATATTTCAAATCTGTAACCATCAGCTTATCATCTCCATACTTTAAAAACAATCATGTATACATATGTGTGTGTCTGTATATGGTTATGTACACATGATACCCCCAGAAGCCGTGGATCCTCTGAAGCTGGAATCACAGGCAGCTTGGCTGTGAGTTGGGTGGGTGCTCTGTAAGAGCAGTATATACTATATTCTGATATGGGCCATGAGAAAAACAAAAATTTAGGGACTATTTTACTGCCACTAATCTCATAATCCTTTGGTTTTATTTTGACTCTTTAACACTTCTTAAGGTATAAATATCTCAGTCGCAAGAGGTGGGGTGGGTGGTTTTTGGTCTTTGAATGGGTTATGGATATTTGTTATTGTTTAGAGTGGTTTGTTACAAGTTGTTATTGGTAATGGTCACGAAAAAGTTGAACAAAGGAGATTAGATTCACAGTTTTTGAAAACTGAAAAGAAAAAAGGGGGATATAAATATAAGGGTAGATTATTTAATCTACTTTTAAACCAAAAAAAGCAACTAATAGTCTTAAATATTTCACATCAATATGGATCTTTGTATATTGATACAAATTTAAGATTATTTTTGTACAATACTGTACATATTTTTGTACAATATACTGTACATACATTTCTAATCTTATTCAAGATATTGTACCTATGCAAGTCATTAAACAATGTAATGCAAATTTCTAATCCTTGAAAGTTATTATTACAAACTATTTAGGATAATAAAGAAATGCAGGTTAGTAGTTAGTCATTTATTACAATTAAACTTGTAGTCATGTTAGGAATGTTTTCAAGGTCAAACAGAGATGCGTTTTAGGTAGACAGGGAGTCTTCAAACACTTCAGAGATCTACAGAATACGGCATTTAAGATGTTTTAATAACATAGGTTCTTTTCTTTTCTTTTTTTTTTTAATGACAATGAGACATGTCTGCTCCTGTCAGCACCAACCTACTTCAGAGAAGATGATGGGCATCGAAGAAACTCCACATGGAGTTTACTTTCTTTGCGGCAAAAGTCAGCCACTGGGCAAGAAAGTGTATGCTTCCTGTACGTAAGACAGTATGCTGTCCAAATGGGACAAACAGGACACAAAGAAAAAGACTGCTGAACTTTGCCAAGACAAGGTAGGTCAGCCCTTCAGAATATCCTGCTTCACAGATAAGTCTGTGAGATATCCTAGGTCTGTAGGCAGAAGATGGATACCCCAACGTTGTAGAGGAACCGTGGGTGACTGTCCAGGCAGCCGTTTCTGTCATTTCTCACAATTTTTGGAAGTAATAATATTTCCTGTGGGAGTCTGTGGGAGTCTAGTTCTTACTGTTCCCACCTTTCAAAGGGTTCTTAAGTGGAGGAGAGAGGAATGAGAAAATATCAGATAGAAAGAGAGACCTAGATGAAGAGAAGAAAGACAGAAACACAGGATAGCTTCGGGAGAGCCTGAGTCAATACCCAACAGCCACTTCATTTATTCAAAAGGGCTTTGTCTAACAATGCCAAGGAGAGATGCAAAAGATCTCCCCCTTGCAAGATCAAAGCACACTGTATAGCCAAGTGTAGACCCTTCAAACACCTGGTAACCACACCCGTGGTCAAATCATCCATTATGCAGCCCTGCTGGGTAAAGCAAGCCCAGATTCGCTGAACCTGAGTAAGTTCTCACTAGGAAGCCTCTGTGGGTCCCCACAATTTCCTTCTCGGGTCTCTGATGGAGTTGAAGACTTTATAGTTAAAGTTATAGTTTTCCTTGTTACCAGATTCAGAAAAGAAATTCACTAAAGGAATGTAAAGTATATAAGGTTGAAAGACATAAAGATAGTTTTGGTAATGCGAATTAGAATAGAAAGTGAATTAGGTACAATCTTTTGGACTCACCAAAATAGGATAGATAATGGAATATTTTCTCTGTATTTGTCAAATGTTTATGGACTAGACATTGTTGATATATTTATTGCCTGTATATATTATATATAGTTATTGTACTTATTGTATATAGTTTTTCTTATATTAGTTATAATCTCTTTTTTATTGTAGACATAAAGGGGAAATGTGGTAATATTTTCCTTGTGCTCTAACAAAGTTTGCTTGGAGATCAGAGTGCGGAACTAGCCACTAGTTAACCACAGAGGCCAGGCAGGGGATCCCAGCACTGGGGAAAGGAAGCAGGAAGATCAGGAGTTCAAGGCCACCCTGGACTACACGAGATTGATTCAGTCTAAAAAAGAAGAGAAACAAAGTCAGGTAGTGGAGGCTCACGCCTTTAATCACAGCACTAGGTAGGTGGAGACAGGAAGTGACATGGCTGGGCAGAGAGAGGAATATGAGGTGGGAGGAGACAGGAGCTCAGTCCCTTCGGTCTGAGGATTTGGCAGAGGTAAGAAGTCTCTCTAGTGGCTGGCTCCTTTACTTCTCTGATCTTTCAGCATTTACCCCAATATCTGACTCCAGGTTTTTATTATTAAGAACAATTAGAATTTGTACTATCTTATTCTTAACTACTGAGCCATCTCTCCAGCCCATCTCCACACTTTTATCCTGTAGCAATCCAAAATAACTATTTTTATGTCTTATGAAGACAAGCTATGTGTGTGTGTGTGTGTGTGTGTGTGTGTGTGTGTGTGTGTGTGTGTGTTGTGAGATATTTATAATCGTGTGTAGATCAGGGAGTGCCCATGGAAGCTAGGGTTTTAGATCCCCTAGAGCTAGAGTTAGGGCGGTTTTGAGCAGTACAACTGGGTGTTAAAAACAAAACTCTAGCCGGGCGGTGGTGGCGCACGCCTTTAATCCCAGCACTCGGGAGGCAGATCCAGGCGGATCTCTGTGAGTTCGAGGCCAGCCTGGACTACCAAGTGAGTCCCAGGTAAGGCGCAAAGCTACACAGAGAAACCCTGTCTCGAAAAACCAAAAAAAAAAAAAAAAAAAAACAAAACTCTAGTCCTCTGCCAGAGCAATATATGCTCTTCACACCTCAATGTTATATAATGAAAGCAATCACCAACACTGTCAAATGCTCCTATAAAACTTCAATACAGAAGCCAGGGATGTAGCTTAGTTGGCAGGGTTTGCCTAGCATGAATGAAGCCCTGGGTTATATCCCCAGCATACATAAAATCAAGCAGAACTTAGCAGTCAAGAGAATTAGCTGCTCTTCTGGAGGACCCAGATTCAATGCCCAACACCCACATGCAAACTCACAGCTGTCTGAAACTCCAGTTCCAGAGAAGCTGATACCCTCTTCTGGCCTCCACGGGTACTGCAGGCATGTGGTAGACTATGTATATATATACAAAGGCAAAACACCCATACACATAAAATAAATAAAATCTTTAAAAGTACAATAAACATATATTTATATTATATAATATAAAAAGCTCATTAATATGATTTCAATTCTGTATTACAATTAACCTTTAACACCACATAAAAAGTTGTGGTATAAAAACAAAGGACATCCTGATTACATGAAAGTCATTAAAATACCATTTTCTAACCATATATATCTTATGAAGTCAGATTTTTCTCAACATATATGTTTCAAGCAATTTATCACAGGACTAAGTAAAAACCTAGCTGTCTTCTGTCATGCCAGATTTTAATTAAAGACATCTAACAAGACCACAAAACAATGCTGCTCTTCTGTGATTTTTTTTTAGACAAGATCTTATAAGTTTATTATTGCTACTTTAAAATAATAAATATCTCAATATTTTGTTTTACCTTCTTTTTAAAAGTTATTTTATTATTTTATGTGTATGGGTGTTTTTGCTGCATATATGTCTGTGCACCAAGTGTATGCCTGTGGAGACCAGGAGAGGGACTCAGATCCCCTGGAACTGAAGCTATGAGAAGTTGTGAGTTGGCATGTGGGTACTGGGAATTGAACTCAGGTCCTCTAGAGCAGCCAGTGCTCTTAATCACTGAGCTATCTCTCTAGCCCTTGTTCTAATTTTCAAAAGAGGAAACCACAAACAAAAGCCATGTGGAGGACCAGAAAATTTGTTCAGTAAATAAAGGCATCTGCTGCCAAGCTTGGCGCCCTGTGTTCAATCCCCAGAACCCACACAGTGGAAGGAGAAAACTGACTCCCTCAAGCTGTTTTCTGACATTCACACTTATGCAATGGCTTATGTGTGTAAATATACCTCAATACACACAAATGTTTAAAAAATTTTTAAAAACAAAGGCTTTTTGAGTCCATAATTTTTTGTTTTTGTTTTTCAAGACAGGGTTTCTCTGTGTAGCCCTGGCTGTCCTGGAACTCACTTGTGTAGACCAGGCTGGCTGTAAACCGGGATATCTGCCTGCTTCAGCCTCCAAAGTGCTGGGATTAAAGGCATGCACCACCACATCTGGCTACAGTTTTTTTAAGGATATGAATTGAGACAAGAAGCCTGAGAACTGCTGACACAGGTCTGCACACTGGGCCGAATGGGCTATAGTTCAGCTCTGCTGCTCCATAACTACACACTACTCTTCCTTCTGTAAAGTTAAGAGGTTGGGGCCAGATGACCATTAAGTCCCAAGAAACGTATATATTTTCATATTCTTTACCTTGAAGTTGTAGATTTCATTGTAGCAATCAGCACTTTTCAGAAACCAGGTTATATTCAAAGATAGATCACAAGGCTCTCCATCAACTATGGAAGAAGAAATACTTGTAAACACAAGAAAATTCCAAATGAAGCATTCTTCCAGCATTTTCTACTAATAGCCTATTTATTTTCTACCCTAAACTGAGATACTCAATATTCCTTCTTTAGACATAAGGAAATCAAGTCATACAAGCAAAAATAACGGTTCTTTCTTTCTTGGTGTTTATTCTGAAGCAGGATCTCATTGTGCAGCCCAAGCTGGCCTCAAATTCACTGCTATCTCTCCATCTCAGGCTCCCAAGTGTTGAGATTACAGGGGTGAGCTAGCAGGCCCAGATGCCCAGGTAGCCTTTAGATAATATCACTGCTCTTTCAGAAGTGGTACTGTAGCTAAGCAGGTTTTCTTTCTTTAACCCTTTTGGAAATGTAGGTCTATTTCTGTGTCCCAAACTTCTAGATCTATATTGAGAAAAACCTGGGCATGATAAGGCAATCCTAACCTAAAACTAGACTTCCATTATTCAAGTATTTACCAAGCAGAACACACATATACAAAGGTTTAATAGTTGAGTGTTAGATTAAGAGGGAAATGGGGAAAAACAAATGGTCAAAGATCTTTTAAAAGGCCACAACCTTACTGGAGAAATACAGAATAATGGTATCAGGGATAGCAGGGATAGCAATAATGGTATCATGATTGTTAAATGGTATTTTAAACAGATCCACTGAGAGATATTCATGGCTTGGACTTGGAAAGTCAGCAAGAATGCATAAAGGGGGCTAGAGAAATGGCTCAGCAGTTAAGAGAACTGGCTGTTCTTCCAGAGAACTGAGGTTCAGTTTCTAGCACCACATGGTAGGTAGCACATGGCCATCTGTCACTCCAGTTCCCAAGGATCTGATCTGATGCCCTGTCTAAACTTGATGCCACCAGCCTAGTTCCAGGTTCAGTGAGAGACCCTGTCTCAAAGAAATGAAGTGGAGACTGACAGATATACACGACACTCAATATCCTTCTCTGAAATGTGCAGGCTCAACCTATGCAAATACCTGAACATATATATATACCATATTACACACATAATAAAACCCCACACAGTTTGGAACACAATGTTCTAAAGAGCCAAAGCATCAGTCTGAAGATTTAAGAAGGTAAATCCAACTGTCCTGGGAGGTGGGACAAGATACTAGAGACTTCTCTGTGCAAACATGCCCAAAATAAACATGATGGCAGTGGGTGCAGCTTTGCTTGCCTGTAATTCTAGCACTTGGCAGGTGGAAGCAGGAGGATCAGGAATTCAGGGCCAACTTCAGCTACATGAGACTGTCTCAAAAAAAAAAAAAAGACAAACAAACCTATAAAATAAAAAACAAGTATGACTGCATTTAAGAATTTATTTTGGGGGTTGGGGATTTAGCTCAGTGGTAGAGCACTTGCCTAGCAAGCACAAGGCCCTGGGTTCAATCCTCAGCTCAAAAAAAAAAAAAAAAAAAAAAGAATTTATTTTGTTTCACAACAAAAGAAACATCTAATTAAAACTTCCTCTTTGATTCCAGCTGTGGAAGAAAAAAATATGGAAGATGCTTTATGTTTTGCAAGAATAATAAGTTATGACTGCATTTAGAAATCTACTCTTTTTCCTTAGATTTATTCACTTTATGTGCATGTTTTACTCACATGTATGCCTGTGTATCATTTGCATCCTGGACCTAGAATTATGAACAGTTGCGAACCACCATGTGGGGTACTAGGAATTGAACCTCGGTCTTCTGCAAGAACAAGTGCTCTTAACCACTGACCCATCTCTCCAGCCCCAGGAATCTACTTTAATTCATAACAAAAGATGCAATCAGGAGGTTATAACCTATACCTTGAATACTAACACTTAGGAGGAGGCAGAGGCAAGCAGATCTCTCTATGAGTTCTAGGCCAGCCTGGTCTACATGGTGAGCTCCAGGCCAGCCAAGGTTACATAGAGAGACCCTGTCTCAAAAAGCAAACATTAATTAATTAATTAAAATTTTAAGATAATAAAAATAATAAGCAACAGAATTAAAACATTCCTAGCTTTGTTTTAAACTGTTTTCTTAACCAACCCTTAAAATTTTTTTTTAATTTTATGTGTGTTTGTTTTGCCTGTTTCGTCTGTGTACCACTGTGACCCTGGTGCCCAGGAGTGCCAGAAGAGGGCGTCAGATCCCTGGAACTGGAGTACAAATGACTATGAACTGGTATGCGAGTGCTGGAATCAAACCGGGGTCCTCCGGAAGAGCCGTCAGTGCAGTCTCTCTAGCCCCTACACTAATTTTAAAATGACTAACACGTTTCTGCAGAGCTCTATTAGGATATGCAAAAATCTGATCAGCAGAGAATTTATAGGAAAGATGGAAAGATTAACAGTTGACTACTAACAGGAGGACACAAGTAGATAGGGTATATTAGCTTAAAGTCAGAAAACAGGGCCAGCAGGATGGGTTAGGGAGTATGTCTAAAGAGCTGAGTTCTATCCCCAGGACCCATATGGTGGAAAGAGACAACTGACTCGAGCAAATTGCCCTGATTTCCACACATACGCCATGGAATGCCTGCATTCACATACAGAAAGTAAGTGAATAAATAAATGTAAATTTTAGGTCCTAAAGAAAAGATTTGCTGGGAATTTTATTGCAAATATAAAAGTAAGTGAAGTGTTAAAGGACAGGTAAGACAATGTTTAGAACTCTAAATGACAAGCCCTGAGACAAAGAACATGGTCCCACCTGTGCTATGGAAGTCACACACCATAAAATCAAAGACAGTAAATACGAGAAACTATAGGAATAACAAAAAATAAGAACAAAATTTAAGGAACCTCAGATCTTCCACAAAACAACAAAATGTAGACATTTTTAATGTGGAGACTGTTAAACTTGGTAAAATACCATCAGGTCAAAAACAAACTAGAAGACTGTACATAACAGGAGTACAGCCAAACATCAAACTATGCTAAGCAACTAGATCCTTCCACAGCTATGAGTAAACAGCCAGTAAACCAACCTCACGAAACAAGAGGGTAAATTGGTTCAAATCAACTTTAAGTTGCCTAGCTTTGTTTCTTTGGCTGGATAAAACACTGTGACAAAAACCAACTTAGAGGAGGAAGGGTTTACTTTAGTACAAAAGCCCAGGTTATGGTTCATCATTGGAATGAAGTCTAGGTGTCAGGGACTTGAGGCAGTCACTCACATCAAATCCACACTCAACGGCAAGGAGGAATCAATGCACGCATTCATGCTGTTCAACTCAGATTCCTCTATTCCTCCACAGTTCAGGACCCAACCTAGGGAATGGTCCTGCCTACATTTATGATGGAAATGCCCCATATCAATTAACACAATTAGACAATCCCCCATAGACATGGCCACTGACCGACGTGATCTAGATAACCCCTCATTGAGATTCTTTTCCCAAGTAATTCTGAGTTGTGCTAAGTTGACAATTAAAACTAACCATCACGAGTGTATTTGTCACAGAAATCTGACCTGCTCCTTTCACTCCCGCCACAGTGTAAGCTCAATGAGAGAAGAGAATTTTTCTACTTTTCTAGTATCTAAGAGTACTCAGCACACAGTAGTTATTTTATAACCACTTATTAAACAAAAGAATAAAATAACTCAACTATGACATTACTGTATTTTCAGGGAGAAAGGTATGTTCAAAACAGACATGAAACAAGGCATGGTAGCTCAGTTAAGAAACTGAGCCTAAGACTGTCCTTGAGCTACCTAGTGAGACCCTGTTTTAACAAACAAACAAAAAAGATTACACTACAGTGATGATCTAAAGTATTATCCCATCTCCAAAATAGGGCAACCCATGATCATTTGCTTCCAAAAATAAAAAAGTCTCAAAATTAAAAGGGAGTTTTAGTATACACAGGACAATTTAGCTCCAGATCCTGTGGCTATCTCACTAGACAAACTGGTTTTCTTTTACATAATCCCTACTTCCTGGTAAGATCCCTGAACTCGCTGTTCCTTGAAGCATTAAACACTCCCTTGGTAAACAAAGGATCTACTGAATATCTGAGCCAATGTCTGACAAGCCTAGACCATGTTTCCAGAAAACAGCTAACAAGTACACAAGAGTAAAATCAGTGATACTTCTGACTCAGAACAGATTTAAAAATGATGCAAGCAGTCAACCAACAAAATTAAATACAACTAAAATAATTAAATATAGACATAGTTTTCATACATAAACATATATATATATACACACTCTGTGTAGCAATACAGTCACCATATGAATTCAATAGAGTATTGAATTCAATTGAGTATGTAATATATAATACAAATATGTAATATAAGCTACATATAATAGTGTATCTATACATAACATAATAAACTGAAAAACAAGAGACTAAGACAATAAAAATTTATACAAGTATTCTGAATATTATTCACTGATAGAAATTTAGTTATACTAAATGTTTGTATCTAAACAGTGCCAACCTATTAAATTTCTAGACTTAAAATGTATTAAGGGGCTAGGGAGATGGCTCTGTTGGTAAAAATGTTTGCTCCCCACACAAGTATCAGGACCTGAGTTTAGATCCTCAGCACTCACATTAAAATTTGATCCATGGCCGGGCAGTGGTGGCGCATGCCCTTAATCCCAGTACTCAGAAGGCAGAGCCAGGCAGATCTCTGTGAGTTCGAGGCCAGCCTGGTCTACAAAGCGAGTTTCAGGACAGGCTCCAAAACTACACAGAGAAACCCTGTCTCAGGAAAAAAAAAAATTCATCCACGCCTGTAATTCCAGTGCTGGGTTTGAGAAAGAGACAGAAGACCCCTGATGTTTGCTGGTCAGCCAATCTAGCCAATCAGCAAGCTACAAGTTAAGGGAGAGACCTTGTCTCAAAACAATAGGGTAGACAGGAACTGAGGAAAATACAAGTAATTGACCTCTGGGCTTCATATGCATATACACACATATTCATACATGCACCACACACATACACACACACACACAAGCAGACTAAGGTAGAAAATAAGCTACGTTTAAGAAGCTCAAATAACAACGAAATTTAAAAACTCACATTTCAGTAAGATAGTAGTATTTCTGAAAAGAATCTTTCCAAAACTAAAATAATTTTTCCCCTGCAAAGATAAAAGAAAAATAATTAGCATCAGGGCATTTTGATTTTCAAGACAGAATATGAATACCTAAATTTATAAAATATTCAAATTAATTTTCTTAATCAAAAGGACAACATTTCTTTTAGTGAAAGTCAATCACATCCAAACTACTGGCTCTTGCCCCTAGCGTTGTCATGAATTCCTCCCCAAAGGCATAAAGCTGGGACTATAAATGGGAGGCTACCTCAGATCTCAACCCAACCTAAAAGCATCATTGTAGGGTTAAAAGGGCACAAGCTCCAATGTTCACAATCATGAGATGTGCGGCTCCTCTTCTATATTCACTAACCATTCCTCAGAACAACCAGTCATAGCGTTCAAATAACCTTTGAGCAGATTTTACTTTTAAATTTAGGAGAACTATTAATCATTCCAGTAACAAATAGACAACTATAATTCAAAACCCAGAAACCTTTGCTAACGTGAATAAAAGCTGCAGAATTTGCCACATAAATGTAGAGTGAACAGGACAAAAGCAAAGCAAGTCAACAAAACAGCTAATGGATTTTTAAAGCAGTTCTTGCCAAAATTTGTTTTTTGTGGTTCAAAATGCTACTCTTACTCAAACGAGGTCTTAAAACTGAGAGGGGAATAGGTCAACGTATCAGTTAACTATCGAAAGGAAAGACTAACCTTACCACATTACATTTTAGAACTGTTCCGTTTTGGCCATTCCCATGTCAAAACGCATTTAAAAAAAAAAATCCCTATGTCCCCCTAATCACAAAAACATTTCGAAGTTTAAACCAGATCAAGCCATCTCATCCGTAGAAATATTTTTACAAAAAATAAAAATAAAACCACTACAGTTAAAAATAAGGACTCCTATTTACATATCCCTTTCATGCAAGCCTAGGTTACTGGATTTTGTGACATTCTAGCTGAAAGAGAAACTACTATGTACCTGTGCATCAAGTTTCTCTCAAGTTTGGCGCTGAAAGTTCTGTACTTTCCCGGTGAGAACCCACTAGGCTCTCACACTCCTCCTAGCTACAGCAAACAGCGCAGCTCTCAGCTCCGGGCAGGTGAGCCCCCGTCTGCACACTCTGGGTATCCCACCCGCTTTGGAAACCGACTTTCCTGAAACCATCCTGGACCCCTTGGGCCACCGTAGCCCCACCTCTCATCCCCTCCAGGCTCAGTAGGGATTCCAATACTTACCGACGGCATCGGAACGTGCCACTTTGATCTATCTGCAGCAAACACGGGTGCTGGTCCTGCACCAAAAAACGACAATGGGAACGGCTGCGACCCCAAAAGAAGAAAAATGACAGGAGACACCTGAAGCCACGCAGCTACCGCCATCTTCACAGCCATGAAGCGACTACCCAAAGCATTGAGCCTGCTTCCGGCTGGCTAGTCCCGCCTTCTTCCGGCTTGTCCCACCCTCTTCCGGCTCTGCTCTGTGGGCGGGATTATCCGGGTCCTTGAAACTGCGACTCTTCGACCGTCAGAGCGCTCCAAAAACTTTGTGCCTACTGCGCAGGCGTCTTCCTGTCTCAATCCAAGCGTCGCCGGGAGGTGGAGGCGGGGGGTGGGGATGAACTAGCCAAACCTTTTGAGGTCCGCTACTTCCCTCTGTCCTTCCTGCCATTAAAGGAACTCAATGCATCCGTCAAGTCTCTGCTCCTCCCGCTTCTTCCCGCTCCTCATCCTTTCCAAGTCAAGGTCAGGCGCCGGTCAGAAGTCAGTAGAAGCGCGCACACTGGATGCCTGATTGACATCCCGTAGTGAGTTCTCCGGCTGTGGAGCTGTGGAGGCAGAGCCTGGAATTTGGCAGGGTTGGAGTAGAAGCGATTCATGAGCTTCAAAGTCCCCTTTAACTCCGAAAGACTGCAGGTCAGCGGCAGCAGGTTGACTGGCGACATCAGCGTCCAGCAATGATCCAGGCGGCACTCACTACTCAAAACTAAAAGTGGGGAGAGATCGGGTCAGCTTTCGGTATTATAGAGTGACAGCCACTGAGACAGACCCTAACTAAGTCTGTCTTAGTGCTTCCTGTTTCTCACGCTCTGGATTTTAACCTCTAGGGCTCTTTGCGTGCACGCCTCCTCCGCCAATAAAAGCAAGGTTCATCAGTCACTCTCAACCAAGATAAAATATTAATTAAGTATATCCCTGTAGACGCTCTCTGGTTTGCGCCTGAGAAAATCCCAGGAGAAAAGGTCAGGATTTGTCCCCCGACCCTTAAACATCTGAGGGGGTCTCCTATTTTCTATAAATCTGACTGTGGTGAAGTCTGCTTGTTACCTTTTTTAAAAAGACTTCCAGAAGCTGTGGCCTGAGAGTTAGGAGCTAGGCACAGTTAACAGCGAAGCCATGGAAGCAGCTGAGAAAGAGGAAATCAGGTAAAGGCCAATTGCTCCCTCAGGAACTGACTCCTACAACAACCTTTTAGTTTGAAGGCTTCACTTAATGTTTTGATCGCACTTCCTTGAATGCTTGGTATTTGCTTCATCGTTCTTTCTTGCTTCTGCAGGGAGTTGGGTGTTGTCAATAGCTAACCTCTCAAAGTATTTCCAGGAGGGTTAGATAACTTTAACAGTGGAAAGACTGCCTTCCAAACTCTAAGACATGGGTCTTAAACGTGCTGCATCCCACATTTAGGTGGTTCCATCTCTTCCTGTGCCATTCCACAGCTCATTGTTCAAAACTGGAAACGGAAGACTGCAAGGTCTCCTAATGTTTGCACACTTGATTAAAATAAGCAGTGCCAAAAAGCCGAGTTTAATGCAGGGTTTCCTTTTTTTCCACGATAGAACAATTTCTTGACATGGCTAAGTGTTTCTATCTGTCCAGGCCTGTTTTCGTAGTTTAGCTTCCTTCAAAATCATGGACATGCTAACTGCAGGTGCGGGAAGCCACACCTCTTTACCAAAGCAAGTCCTCCCCCTCCCCCTGGTAGTTTATAGTTGTTTTAACCAGAGGAAGACTAACTGAAATACACATATATTCAAGTAGTAATGTACATCTTTTTACATTTTATTCCAGGTGCAATTCTTCTGGAAACTTGGTTTTAAAGAATATTAATCTCTAGATTGTTGGACTCCTCCGGGAAGTTTTTTCTTTCTTCTATGTTTGTTCCTACTCTGCCTCTAGCACCTGGCACATACCTTTCTTAGATGATTTCGAGCTTTATCTTGTGGTTACCTGTTAGATTTTAACAGAACATTTAGGCACTCTATGTCTTCTTCAGGTCTAAACTCTCAGGAAGTATATGTTCTGAAAATACTTTACTCTTTAAATAGGTGAGTAGGTTGGTTGTTTGGTTTGGATTTAGATTTCAGATTTTAGTGTTGTGGCTGTTATTTTAAAAGCTCCCTGCCTCATAGTTGACAGTGCCCTTTTTCCATGGCTTTCAAACCAAGCCCATGGAGATGTTTTGTTGTTCAATTTGGTAGTTCTACAAAAGGGTATTGTTCTACACCATACATACGGTTGCCCCATGAAGTCTTATGTTACAGCAGTGGTGGAGTTTTGTGATGCAGAATAAATTCCAAAAGTTTATTTTGCACATTTATAGTATAATTAGGGAAGGTACAAATATTGAACTCACAGATATTATGTAAAATATATTTCTTAAAATGTCTTATTTAGTGTTGAAGATGAAGCTGTGGATAAAACCATCTTCAGAGACTGTAGCAAGATTGCTTTCTATAGGTAAGTAAATCTATCACCCAGAGAACATTCCTGACAATATTTCCAAGTTAATTCCATGTGCTTTTGAGAACTGAGGGGCTAAGAAGATGATCTTTAGGAAATCTAATGAATCATCTTACATACTACTATTAAATAATTTAAATTGTATTTTTTTTTTTGTCTTGGTTTTTCAAGACAGGGTTTCTCTGTGTAGCCCTGGCTATCCTGGAATTTGCTCTGTAGACTTGAGGCCAATCTTCCAGACTGGCCTCCCAAGTGCTAGGATTAAAGGTGTGCACTACTACCACCCAGCCTGTATTTTATTTTAAAATCTAAAACATTTTAAAAATGTGTGTCCTTTCAAAGATAATATACTTACCTGGTTTGGATATCATATAAAATGATACATATTGAAAGTATTACTCCCACCTCTACTTTTCTATCATCTTGCCCCTTCAAATAAGCATATTTATTAATTTCTTATATATTGCTCCAGTATTTTTTGTAAATACATGTATTCTTCTATCACCTCTTTCCTTACACCTACAAATAGGTTTCTGTATGCAGTGTTCTGTGTCTCCTTCCCCCTGCTTTATGCTTTAGTCTGGAGAGCTTCCACTTCAGTACACGGAGGTCCCCTCTATTTTTGTGCTCATGCTATTCCACTGGGTAGATACACCATAATTTATCTTGTTCTAGATCCACTCGCTAGAGCCTCAGATTGTTGTTTCTGTTTTCATCTTTTGCTATGAGAGCACCACCATATCCTATACTGCAAGTGATTTGGAAGATAGAATTTTAGGCGTGGAGCTGGAGCTGTGGCTCAGCAATAGGGGACTTCCTTGTCTTGTGCAAGGCTCTGGGCCCAGTCCTTAGCACTAACGAAAACAAAACAGCAAAAACAAAGAAACAAACAAACAATAAAAGCTAGGATTTCTAGGAATTTGGTAACTGGATCAAAGAGAAAATATACTTGAAATGTGTTAACTATTGATAGAGTTCCCTCTGTGGGGATCTTACTTTAATCTTACTTATTTAAATATTAAATAATAATATTTAATAGGTTATTAGCCTAGAAAAAAAAGTCTTTAAAATCATTTTTTAAAACATCTACTTTAGTGGGATTCATGGCTTAGTTGGTTCAAGAGCCTGACTTATATCTACTTTTATGGGATCCTGAACCGAAATCATCAAAATTAATTTTTTGTTTATTTGATTAATTTGTGTTTTATTGTTTGTTTGTTTATTATTTGAGACATCATTTCACTATGCAGATCTGACATTGGACTAACAACGGCCTGCCTGCCTCTGCCTTCTGAGTGCTGGGATTAAACACGGTGCCATACCACCATGCCCAGAAAAAAAAATTTTTTTTAATATATTTTTTAAGTTTCTATTTCAGCCATTCTCTATTCTTGAAGAAAAAAAAAATGATGCCATTTTTAACTCAAAACAGTTACCTTAGAGGGAGGTAGTAAATGCCCAACCACCTTGTTAAGCCGCTAGCCCACACTGAATTTCCACTAGAATCTGTTGAATCACTACTAAAGTTCCATTCCATGAAAAGGAGGAGAAAGTTTAAGTTCATAAAAAAGTTTGGGATGGGGAATGGCTTAGTAGGTAAAGTACTTGCAAGAAGCCCTAAGTTTAATCCCTAGAACCTATTGTAAAACTACCAGTCCTGGGCACTTGCAATCCCAGCCCTGGGGAGGCAGAGACAAGCAGGCTTCTAGGCCCTGCTGGACGGCCAGCCTAGCCTACTCGCCTAACCCCATGCCAGTAAGAGACACTGACTTAAAAATAAAAAGATGGACAGTCCCTAAGGAATGATACCTGAGGTTGTTTTCTGGCCCCCACTCACATGTACATATACCTATATAGTCACATGCACCTGTACATGTACACACACATACACATACGAAAGAAAGAAAATTGTCCCCACTTTCTCAATAAAGGAGACAAGATGCCATTCTTAAGCAGCATTATGTTGAAATTAATATTATTTTAGCGATAATTTTATTAGAACTCTAGTAATGTATTCTTGGTACTTTATAAGAGTATCAATACTGTCTATGCCAGTTACTTACTGTGATAGTGAATTTTGCTGACATTGACATGATGATGTGGTCTATTAGATGCAGACAAGTCACAAGCAGTTCTCATAGATCTGTATCCTTGTCCTAGTTGGCTTTTTATTGCTGTGATTAAAGACCATGACCAAAAGCAGCCTGGGGAGGAAAGGGTTTATTTCATCTTATAGACTCCCAATCACAGCCCATCCCTGAGAGAAGTCAGGGCAGGAACTCAGTGCAGGGACCTGGAGGCAGGACCTGAAGCAGAGACCATAGAGGGTCCTGGCCCCTCCTGGTTTGCTCAGCTACCTTTCTTATGACACCTGTGGTGTCACCCACAGTGGGCTGGACCCTCCCACATAAATAAGTTAATCAAGAAAAAGCTCCCACAAACTTTCCTACAGGCCAGTCTGATGGAGGCATCTTCTCATTTAAGGTTTCCCCTTTCCAAATGACTCTAGTTTAGGTCAAGCTGACAAAACTAACCAGCACAATACTCTGTATCTGTAGGCGACAGAAACAGCAGCTCCCCAAGAAAACCACCTACCAGGCATTGTTAGGCTCAATCACAGCAGAACAGGACAGCACCAGGTTCCAGATCATCAGTGACGCAACCAAGGTGAGTTGGAAGAACGATTGACTTTTGTATTTATTGGAGATGAACTATACACATTTTTTGTTTTTGTTTTTCAAGACAGGGTTTCTCTGTGTAGCTCTGGCTGTCCTGGAACTCACTCTGTAGACCAAGGGGGCCTTGAACTCAGAGATCCGCCTGCCTCTGCCTCCTGAGTTCTGGGATTACAGGCCTATGCCAGCACCACCAGGCAAATTATTTCTAAAACAGCTAATTTAAACTATCTATGCCTCAGAAGAACTTTGTTAGAGAAGAAATATGATCTTTTTTCATATATATATATATATATATATATATATATATATATATATATGTATACACACACACTGATCCTATATTAATTAATTCTTTTTGAGGCAGGACTCATGTGGCCCAGCTGGCCTCCAGCTTGCTGCTCTACTGAGGCTTTTCTAACTCCTGATCTCCTTCCCCTACCTCCCAAGTGCCAGGATTACATGCTTCTGCCACCGTACCCAGCTGATCCCACCTTCATAGTGATGCGACTATTAACAGATCACCTGTGTATCACATGTTTTTCTAGAGATTTTACGTGTGTTATTTCCTCTTAACTCCTTTTCATAATGCATCTAAGACATACACTGTATTGTCTCAAATTATCAAGTAAGGAAAATGAAATCTAGGAAGACACTTGCCCAGTGTGACATAACTGTATTTTTCTGTCTTTGACAGACTCTATGAAAGATCCATATACTTTCTAGCACTGTAATGTAGAGCACAGTTTCTCATGAAGCCTGAACAAAGGGGCAGATTTAGCAAATGACCACATTTCAAAATTTAGGTTGCCAAGGAACAGATAAGAGAATTATGTAGTAGAAAACCCAAGACATGAGTATTCTGCCTCTGATCTGTGTCCCGAGCCAATCCCCATAGTTCCTACAAAGTAAAGGAATTATATACAGTAGGATATCTTAAGGACTTTCCTCTCACCTTTCAGTTCATCACACTACTTCATCTGTGGCGCAAAGATGGGTCAGTTATAGAAGTGTTATGAGCTGGACCAGAAAGTGAGACTGCACAAGCCACCTGATACTCCACTCCAGCCCTTACTTTTAGGACTCCTCCACCTTCTAAAGGCTCTTCAGCTTCTAGAGCCTCTCAAACCAATATGAATTAACTGGTATTTCTTAAAACAGAAACGTAGTTCATTAAGACTGTGGTCTGGGTCTACTAACCGCTTACAGAGTGGATCCTGTTACAGACTCGACTAACTGCCTCACCGTTTCCAGTTCTCAGACATCGACTTGCAGCTGAAAGTTGTGTGAAATCTCCTTGGGACTGCCGCACCCCTGCTTTGTAATGCTTTACTGAGGAAACAGCGAACAGAATCAAAACTATCCCACAATGTTGGAGGAGGGTTCTCTAAGACCTTAATTTAGAAACTATTAGTGTTCAGCAAACTTGACTCTCAAAATTGAGGGAGCCCACAAGAGGCTTTGCAGGAACCTTTGGAATTACCTCCAGATGTCAGGAACTTTCTTTTCTCTTTTTTTTTTTCTGATAATTTTCTCATTTTCCTTCTTCTCTTCATTGTATCTGACTGCAGCAAGTTGTAGAGGCCATGATCTGGAAATAAAATCCTTATCCATCCTTGGGGAGGCTTAGTACATAGAACCTCTTGAACAATCCACTGTCATAAAGATGCCAACGCAATGAAAATGAGGCAGAATTACTTCAGATACCAGTAATAAACCAAAACTCAGTTCTCAGCACAGCTTGACACCAATGCGGTGAGTGCCAGACTCCTGCACATGCCTCCTTAGGGTACAAGAGATCATTTTTTCTCTTTGGAAAGACAAGGCAATTCAAGTCAGGTACCAACCAGAGCCAACAGATCTGGAAGTCCTCCAAAAAGAAGACTTTACAGTGCAGAGAGCCCCAGAGGATAGATCTAAACACAAGACAGCACGCTGCTCAGAAGGGAACCAAGAAGTCTATCAAGAAAGAACAGATCATCTGAAATGTTAGCACCAAAGCCCTCAGGACTCAGAACTTTGTGGATACTTAAAACATACTCCACATTCGGTACTGGAAATACCTGAATATCAAAGCTGGATAGGAATCTGTGTACTGTAATCTCAAGCAAATGTATCTTTTAAAAAGTCACCCTGAAATTCTGCTTAACTCCATTTTAATGTCCAAGTGATGTGTAGAATTGAGCTAACTGGTAGGGACTTAGAATTCCATGTCCTCTGTTGGTTTCAGAGGCAGTGAAGATAATAATCTTCCAACAGTTACCTGAGAAGTTGTCTGTACTTTATAGCCATCTCACTGCATAGGAACAGGGTCAAAGGTTATTTCTAGGCTGAGACCAATGTATTAAGGAGATTGCACATCAGGTATCAGTGTGGTCCAGAGTATATGTGCACCTGATAAGAACAATAGCTTTTTTTCTTTCAGGTTCAGAGAGATAGAGTCCAAAATCCAAGAGGATCATATTCAGCTCACAGCTGCAGTTCTCAAATTGCACCAAAGAGGCAGATTCTGACAAACCAGGAGCTCCCTGTACCTGCCTGCCCAGCTGCCTACCCCCACACGCTTAAAGCCTTAAACAATTGACTTCAGAGTTTGACGACTTGTCATTCTGGAAATCCAGTTCCTTCCCCCAGAGCCACTCCTAATAAGCAACTAAGAACAGAATCAAGCTTTATTATTAATATTGTCTTAGTTTGCTTTGGCTGCATAACAAGATACCATCGACCAAGTGACTTAAACAACAGATGTATCTCTTAGTTTCCAAGGTGCCAACACTGACATCGGGAAATGGCCCTCTTCCTGGCCTGCAAATGGCCATCTTGATCCCACATGACTGAATGACACAGGCGAAGGAAATTCTGCTCTTTTCTTATAAAGGCAGTAATGCCATCCTGAGGACTGCCCCCATGAGCTCTTATTTACAAACGTCAAAAATAGTACGTTTGTAAATGTACAAGTAAATGTTCAATAAAGAAGCTGTTAGAAGAAAAAAAAGTAAGGAAAATGACTAGGAAAGTGTTCTCTTTTAAATGCTGTTCAGGCTTGATTTCTCCCTCCTACTGTTACCAGCTTTTTGCCTTGAATGAAGACGCGACAGGGGCTGAGCAGCAGAGATCTGGTCTTTTGCTCCCTCTACAGGGAAATGCATGCTGTCTTCTGCACGGCCAGCAAGGCAGACCGTACTAGACTCATTGCTAACTTTGGGGTTCTCTGCTGATTTGGGTAGACATCTTGGAAACATTTTTACTTTCTTTTGCAGTCTGTTATTGTGGTTGCACAAGAAATGCTTCCAGCAGCTTCTTTGAGGATCCAAGTATATCTCTAAGCCTCTGTATGAGGTTACTCCTTGCCTCTTCATCTTAGCAGGATTAAAATGAGACTTTGTCAACTAGTGACCTCCTCAGCAAGCTGCTCTTTAGCAAGTAGTGTTCATCCTGAGTGGCCAACAAGCAGTTAATTAGGAACTGGCCAAACAGAGCCAAACCTGAATAGGCTAATTGCCCTCTGGAAATGGGCTAAAGGAGGTCACCATTGTTCTTCTTCTTAGAGAATCGATGCTTGCAGTTACCACAAATAGCTGAGACTATCTAAAAAAAAAAAAAAAAAAGCAAAATAAATAACACGATATAATACACAAACAAATAAGCTGGAAAGAAGCTTAATTGTATATCTGGAAAAGGAGTATGGCATGCTTGGGCTCAGGCTGTAATGCTGTAATCATAGCAGTTTCCATTCCCACCAATGAAAGCTATTGCATAAGCACCGCTCAGGGTTTTTTTTTGCTGAGTTACCAGGGAGGTGCTATTCCTCCTCCTGACCTAATTGAGGACTGCTATTACAAGATCTAGAGCAGCCCTCCAGAGAAGCTGGAGGCAAGCTCCTCTGGTGACCATCAAGGCTTGTCCTAAGCTCACATGAAGGTTTCCACATGAGAGCAAGGCCTGTTGAAGCAGAAGTGTGGTTTCAGCAGCGTCATGGCTGCAGTGTTCTCTGCAGCTGGGGTATAGTTTCCACAAAGCCCTTCCTGGATTGTTTAAGGCAGCTGGTGTGCCATAGTGACAGCTGCCAAAGGAGGAAACGTTCCGCTTATACTTAGGGACAGTTGGGCACAAGGGAAAGATTAGACAGTTGTCAACTAAAGGCTCGAAATTGGGCCCCCCAACAGCTTGCTTAGCTTATTTAAAGAAACAAAAACAAAAACAAAAACACTAGAGGTTGCTTACAATAAAGACCCACTGTTTACATTTTTTCTGTTTTGTTTTGTTCTGTTTACATTCTTAACATTATTTGATGGTATTTAACTCATAGACAGAAAACATTAGGAAGACTCTGAGCCAGGGTCATCTGGGTTGAGAAAGAGCTTCCACTGAAAGCATGGCTCCATCAGATTAGCCTGTGTTGTGGGGCATTTTCTTGATTAATGATTGATGTAGGAGAACTCAGCTGTCTGTAGGTGGTGCCATCCCTGGGCTGTAGTCCTGGTTCTGTAAGAAAGCAGGCTGAACAAGCCAGTAAGCAGCACTCCTCTATGACGTCTGCGTCAGTTCCTGCCTCAAGTTCCTGCTCTGACCTCCTTCATGGTAGACTGTAAGATGCAATGTAAAATAAACTCTTTTCTTCTGTGGTAGTGTTTATCACAGCAATAGAAACCTAATTTATTCTCCTACCAACTCCTAAAGGCCCTCTTTAAAGTTCTCCCTCCCCCTGCTCCCAGAGAGACTTCCCAGGCCTTCTTCACCTCGAACACATTAGTACTCCGCTTCCTATTTTGCCACTAAATCTGTATTCATACTTTCATCTCCGCTTTATGTAAATTTTATGTAGGTATCATCTTCTCTAAATTGCAACCCCTCTAGGAGTTCAGTGGTTACGATATTACATATAAAATAAATGTTAATTGAATTAAAAAGAACCATGGGGGCTGGAGAGATGGCTCAGAGGTTAAGAGCACTGGCTGTTCTTCCAGAGGTCCTGAGTTCAATTCCCAGCAACCACATGGTGGCTCACAACCATCTGTAATGAGATCTGGTGCCCTCTTCTGGCATGCAGGCTGAACACTCACTGTATACATGATAAATAAATAAAATCTTTAAAAAAAAATAAAAAATAAAAAGTACCATGAAACTATATGTCTAGCTTGGGAGAGAATAGATAATTTGAGTTTCAGCTCTGTTTGTGTTTGGGCATTTTCAAATGTTGGGATTCTAACGGCATGCTCGGGACAACTCGGATTTGTGAAAAAGTAAGCATGGAAGCAGAAATTATAATCAATTCTGTAACAGTCCTGTATTAGAATGACGTTGAATGCAGCCATAGCATTAGCTCTTCAGGACAGTATTACCAACACTGACCTGACTGCCCTTATAGTTCCAGAGGCAAGGTTCCAGTCACATGGCTTTTCAAATGCTGCTTGATGTTTTCCATGCTGCCTGTCTTCTGATTTCCCCACATCATGTCAGTTACACTACATCATGTGACCTTTCCCACTGAGCCTACATCACAGCAGAAAATAACAATGTCGGTACCCATGTATAACCAAAGCTCAGCAGCATGCTTTGTGAAGAATTTGCAGTTAAGACTAGTATGATACACTGGCTAAAGACTTGTCTTAAAGTCACACTCTGATCTAGGTGCTTCATTTTGTGACCCAAATCCAGCCATTTCTGTTCCTGTGGGGTTTCTCCTCTTGCTTTGAATTTTATTTTTCAGGTTTACTCCTTTTGTAGTTCTGTGTTGTTTCCATCCCTCTTGGCAATTTTTACCTAAATTTCCCAGCCCCATGAAAAAGTTCCCTAGAAGTTTATTATTTTTCCTGGCTGTAAAAAAATCTGTTGATTTCAGTGCAGTGAACCTCATTTCATCCATGCTTAAGAACTGTAAAGATCATCATTTTTCTCAGTTCTTTCCCTGAGCCTGTTTCTTTCATCTTTCATTCACCTGGAGCCTGGTAACACTGAATTTAACGTCTAAACTCTTGGTACATCTGTGCCTGGTCATACGTCCCAATTTTTTCAAGTCTGATTGCAGCTTATGCAATTATCCAGTTCAATTATTAGTGGAGACCCCTTTCACTCTAAAGATCCTGGTTTGGATAAGCCTATGTTTACCTAGCCACAGACACACAGAAGATATTTCTTGTGCTACAGCCATAACCAAGCAAGTACAAGCACAGATGTGGGACGTGTCCTTTTTATTGCCAGCATTCTCCAATTTGCTTGGCCTATACTAATTTAAACAAATGCTTTCCTAATTATTGTCATTTGACTATTAGAATAGATTATCATGGAGGTAACCTGTTAAAGCTAATCTCACACCTCTGCTCCCAGACTCCTCTCCTGGCTGAAGTTTATGGTATAGAGAAAAACATTTTCAGACTTAAAATCAATGAAGAAACCCCACTGAAACCAAGATATGAAGTTCCTGACGTCATCACTAGCAAGCTAGGAACTGTAAGGTAAGCCAAGGGGCAGGGTCCATTATGCACAACTTCAGCGTGTTCTTTAATCAGACCTTGAATGCACCCCCTATTCTGTGTGTTGAGTGTTATAATCAGCTAGTTACAGGGTTAGTAGCCAATCATCTGGGGATACATTTATAAATTTTCTATGTTACCTATTCTGTTTTTCTTTATCTCCCATTCCAAAACAGTTTTGTACCTCCGAATGAGGAGAGACAGAAATTTGGGCCTGCTCTGTTTCTCACAAAAAAAAAAAAAAAAAAAAAAAAAGTTTATTAGGCTGAGTTTGGAACCAAGTAGAAGAGAAGCTATTTAATTTGCCCACTCAGATTAGCACCATGACTCAAGAGATCTAATACACTAACTCTCCCAGTGATTTATACAGCTAGATGAACTCACTTTTAATTAAGGGTATTCTCAGAAGCCTAACATTTAATTTTATGTAGAGCCAGAGATAAATTAATGATCAGTATCTAGGTAAAAAAAAAAGTCTCTAGGGATTAAAGTGTTTTTCAAGTACCTGCAAAGTTTCCATCAGTTCTCCTGGGCAGACATTCGGGTAAAGCATGAGTTGCTTTGCCTGGCGGCTCCTGTTGCTCTGTCAGTGAAAGAATGTAAGGTTAAGACAGATGCTTTAATTTCCTCCAGAAAAACCACGGTTGTCAATAGATAGTGAAGATTATATAAACATTGTGTGATAAGTGTCGAGGTTAGTTCTGCTTGGGTGCCGACTACTTTCTAGGGGACCTTGAGCTACCAACATAACTGAAACATTGAAAGCAGCCTTTTGCCCTTCCCAGACCCCTTTCTAGCTAGAGTTTCAGATGTGATTCACTTTCTGCTCTTCGTGTGTACTTAGCAAAACTGTTCAGTACTGTTGTGCTTATCTAGATCTGGCAGCTGTCAATGGCTGTAAGGCCACTAGTTAGGGCCACCGGTCCCTAATCTTCATATTACAGCTAAGATGACATGACCCTTGAGCCAAGCAATAGCCACAGTGACTTCTGATTTCTCAGCTTCCTGACTATAGCTGAGATAGAAGTCCACTGACTGTCCATTTATCCCGTTTCGTGCTTAGGAGCTTTACTGCAGAGCTAGCCTGAACCCTATTACCTAAACCCTCCTAATGATGTTATAGACAACCAGTTCTCTTTGGTAAGTTATGTATTTTCTACTTAAAATAGCCAGAACTGTTTCTATTATTGACAGTCAAGTCCTGGTTGACACAGTAGTTGATATCAGAAGTGGGTATAAGCAACTGACCATGGGTATGAGATTAACCAGCTGACCTAGTTGACAGTGAAGGCAGTGAAAACCTGGCTACCATTAAAGGATAGAATACCAGTGTTGTGAGCAGAATTGTGTCTCCCTGTCCCCCAAATTCGTATGCCGAAGCCCTCATCCCCGGTACCTCAGAACACAACTGTATTTAGAGATATAGTAAAGCAATAGTTGGGATAAACTGGGAACATAATAGTGGGGCCCTAATACATCACGACTGCTACCCCTATAAGATGAGGAAACTAGGGTGACACATGCACAGGGACACTCATAGTGACAAGGCAACCGTCTGCAAGCCATGGAGATAGGCCTTATAACAAACCAACCTGCTGACACCTTGGCCTTAGCTTTCCAGAACTGTGAGAGAATAAGCTGCTATTTAAACAACCCGGCCTGTGGTAATTTGTTATGATAACCCAGTGAACTGATACAAGGAGGAATAAACCACAGCATTCTGTGCTCTTGCTTAAGTTCTGCTGATAGTCAACCGAAATAAGGGGCTTACTGAAAGCAAACCAAGTGGTGGGAATATGGCACCTTGTGACGGTCCTTCAGAATGCAAGCCTCTGGGCCTCTCTGAAGCGTTTAATGACATGAAACAACAGTCTCAGTCTCTAACAGTAGCGTTGTTAGAAAACTACTTAGTCTCTATGACTGTCTCACGTCTTATCTAGCTACAGGGTCTCTATGGCTGCAAATGCAGACTCAGAGTTTTATATTTCAGGTTGCTGAATTAAATCATAAGCTGAGTTCACAGCCCACTCAGATCTGTGACTTAGGGCATTAACTGCAAAACTTATTCTAAATACCCAAACTTCCAAACTTCATTGAGCCTTCCATTCCAGCAGAGACCCCCCCCCCCTTCCTGCTCCTTCTGTGAATGTTTCTTTTTTTTTTTTTTTGGTTTTTCGAGACAGGGTTTCTCTGTGTAGCTTTGCGCCTTTCCTGGAACTCACTTGGTAGTCCAGGCTGGCCTCGAACTCACAGAGATCCGCCTGGCTCTGCCTCCCGAGTGCTGGGATTAAAGGCGTGCGCCACCACCGCCCGGCCTGTGAATGTTTCTTATGTGCACTCACACGTCACAGGTGTGGTTGCCTGAAGAGGGCAGAAAATGAGGTCAGATCCCCTGGAGCTGGAATTACCGCAGCTGTGATCTGCCAGATGTGAGTCCTCTCAACAGCAGTAATGACTCTTGACCACTGAGCCATCCCTCTGTTGCCTTCCTGTTCCTTCACCGTCCCTGCCAGGCCTGAGCATTGACTAGACCTCAACGGAGACAGACTGTGCAAAGGGATTTCCGTGTTCCTTATGCCTCACAGTTATCAGCCCTCACTGCCTCCTAACCTCCAGAGAGCCTGTTACGGCCAAGCTCATGAGAAGAAGAGTCGCCTGCCTGAAGAAGTATAAGATTTCCATAGTGCCAGGGAGAGGGCTCAGCAGAAACAGGTGCTGCCTCTACTTCTGATGACCTGAGTTTGGTCCTCGGCTCCTGCAAGCTGTCCTCTCACCTCCACATGCACACTGTGGCACCCACACACCCCACACATACACACACGGCACACAAAGTAGAATTGTAATATGTAATTTAAAAATTAAAAATAAATGAGACTATTTAGATTCTGTGTGCCCAAGTGTAACTAGACATTATAGACAGAAATGATGATGATGATGAACATTTGTTCGCATTTCCAACCTGTACCAATTACTTTGAAAGTATGATTTCACTTAATTTTTTTCCAAAAATTCTATTAGTTTTAATTTTATTTACATTTCTTAGGTAAAGAATTAGTCATTGAAAGGTTGAATAACTTTGTTACCTGTGGTTATGAAGTATGTGGTAGAGTTAGGTTCTGTCCAAGCTCTTTTCTTTCCTCTCCATGATGGCTCCCTACTGTAGACCTTACCTATTGTCTGTCACAGGAAGATTGATTTGCTGGCCAACACTCTCAGTTACAGATCACATAGACTTGTATAAACCTGTAGCAATTTATTTATTTTTCTCTTTCTGGTTCATTGTCCAGGCTGGTCTCATGCTCAGGGGATACTGGCAGCCTGATACTGACCGATGGAAAAGGAGATCTGAAGTGTCACATCTCAGCAAACCCATTCAAGATAGACTTGGTGTCTGAGAACGAGGCTGTGATCAGCATCAACTCCCTGGGCCAGTTATACTTTGAGCACCTACAGACTCCTCACAGGCAAAGGTATTTGTATACATCTCTTGACCCTTGAGGACCTACCTTAACAAATACCAGCTGCCTCCAGCCCTGCTCCTCCTGCCTTGCTGGCTGAGCTTTCTTCCCTCTCCCTCACACACACACAAAGATTTTAAAGGTGGCTGAAGAGCTTGTGTAATAAATTTTTTGTTATGCTATTTTTTTTTTTTTTTTTGGTTTTTTCGAGACAGGGTTTCTCTGTGTAGCTTTGCGCCTTTCCTGGAACTCACTTGGTAGTCCAGGCTGGCCTCGAACTCACAGAGATCCGCCTGGCTCTGCCTCCCGAGTGCTGGGATTAAAGGCGTGCGCCACCACCGCCCGGCTGTTATGCTATTTTTAATGTTTCTCAGTTTAAAAAAAAAAAGTTGAAGAATGCGGTGGTTTGAATAAGATGTGCCCATGGTCTCCGGCATTTGAATACTCGGTCCCCAATTGGTGGTGCTGTTTGAGGAGGCTTAGGAGGTCCAGCCTTGCTGGAGGAAGTATGTGACCGGAACCAGGCTTTGAGAGTAGAAGGACACACACCATCCCCAGTTCACTTTCTGCTTCCCGCTTGTGGTTCAAGATGTAGCCCTCAGCTCCTGCTCTAGTGGTCATGTCTATCGACTGCTGCCTCCACTCCAACCTCATGGACTCTTACCGCTCTGGAATCCGACACCCAAACCAATTTTTCCATCTCTGAGTTGCCCTGGTCATCGTGTTTTATCACAGCAATAGAAAAGTAGCCAATAGAAAGACTATTTATATGATAATGACAGAGTAGTTGGCCTTTTAGGTATTTTTTACTTTTCCTTCTTTTCACTACTTCTTAATTTTCCCACAATGAGGACCTATTACTTTTATGATAAATAGTAAGATTTTCCAATGCTAACATTTCAAAATAAAAATAACTTGCAACTTAAAAAAAAGTTATTGTGTGGAAATAAATAATGCAAAATGTTTTCTGTGGACCACATAATCACTTATTCTGATGATAAAAAGGGCAAGTATAGACTGGGAGATTTTTTTTTTTTTTTTTTTTTTTTTTTTTTTTGGGTTTTTCGAGACAGGGTTTCTCTGTGTAGCTTTGCGCCTTTCCTGGAACTCGCTTTGGAGACCAGGCTGGCCTCGAACTCACAGAGATCCGCCTGACTCTGCCTCCCGAGTGCTGGGATTAAAGGCGTGCGCCACCACCGCCCGGCTCGACTGGGAGATTTTAAACCAACACTTGGTGAAAATGGGAGAGGCCTCTCTTCCAGACCATCCCAGTCCTGACAGCAAGCACCTTTGCCCACTCAGCCATCCTGACAGCAAGCACCTTTGCCCACCTTTGCCCACTGAGGCATTTTGCTGCCCCTACTTTCCTTTTTTTTTTCTTTTTTTTTTTTTTTTTTTGAAACAGGGTCTTGTAGCTTAGACTAGCCTTGAAATTACTATGCAAGCAACAGTGACTATGAACTTCTGATACTCTGCCTTGGCCCTCTAAATTCTTGGATTAGTTATGTGCCGCCATGCCAGGCCTATAATGATGTCATATTTAATAAATTAAAGGATAGAATTTATGAAGACTTGGAAATGAGAATCTTTGTTACTGCATTAAATCCTGCCAGTCTTCCCATTGACTGAAATAACTTTATCTGTGTTTAAACAGAGCTACCCAAGGGAACAAGGAGAGTGCTCCAGCTGACACCTCTCAGGTAATTGAGATCTAGCAAGTTACCCTTGATCTTCTTTAACATTCCTGTCAACAAGTAGTGGATTCTGCTCCCCTCTTCTCCAGAGGGGTGCTTGGTATATAAAAGGGGATTTCTTGTTATAGTCTGTTTACTCACCTTAGCATCTTGGTCTTTTTAGTGGGTGTGCGCATGCCAGGAGTGGAAGCCAGAAATCAGTACCGGTGTCTTCCTCAATTATTCTCTGTTTACCTTTTATTACATTTCATTTACGTGTGTGTGTGTGTGTGTGTGTGTGTGTGTGTGTGTGTGTGTGTGTGTGTGTGTTATATACTATGCATACTGTATCCATATGTTTCTTATATTAGGAGGAAGGAACACAAAGGGAAAGGAGACAGGTAAATGCTAAAGAACTAGTAAGGGTCTTCTATGGAGAGACTAGCAATGCTCTTTACTTCACAAAATCTGTTGAAGACCAACCGCCTCCTGCAGGGCAGGCACGGTTGAAGGAATGGGTAGTTCATCACTGAACTGATCTAAGTTCCTCGTCCATCAGAGTGTGCCTTCTTTTAAGGCACCCCTTTTCAGTTTACCCTAAGAACAAAGAATGTTTTAAACGTAGGGATAGATGGTCTCACTTCTGTTTTTAAAAGGTTATTTTGGCTGAGTTATGAAGAATAGACAATCTAGAACTCGAGTCTTTTTGTGCGTTTGTGTATATGGGTGTGGTATGTACATATCTGTGCATATGTGTACATTGGTGTACCTGCATGCATATGTGGAGATCAGAAGCTGACACCAGGTGTCATTTTCAGTCACTCTCCACCTTATAAAGCAGTCTCTCACCGGAACTCAGAACTTACCAGTTCAGCTAGTCTAACAGACTTTCTTTTGGGCCACCAACCTACTCCCAAACCAAGGAGTTTCTGGAATCCGACACCAAAACCAACTTTATTTTTCCTTCTTTTCACTACTTCTGGCCTCAGGCATGTCCCTCTCATTCTCCTCCTCCTTCTTTTCTCGAGCCTAGATTTCTCCTCCTACTTATTCGCTCTGCCTGCCAGCCCGCCCATCTCTCTCCTGCCTATTGACTGTTCAGCTTTTTATTAGACCAATCAGGTGCCTTAGGCAGGCAAGGTGAAACAAATACAACATACCTTTATATAATTAAACAAATGCAACACAAACAAATGTAACACATCTTTGCCTAGTTAAAATAATATTCCCCAACAAGCTAGTCTTTTAGTCAGCTTGTTCGGGGATCAACTGTCTGCCTCCCAAGTGCAGCCCACTGTGTCTACCCAACATTTATATAGACACTGAGGACTGAACACCAGTCCTCACACGAGAACAGCAAGTGCTTTACCCACCGAACTGTCTCCCCAAGACTCTGTAGCCCATGCTGCTCTGAAACACATTATGTAGCCTAGGCTGGCCTCCAATTCACAGCTATTCTCCTGCCTCAACCTCTTGAGTGCTGATGTTATGTGTATGTACCACTGAACCTAACTAGAAATCTTTATTCACAGCCACATAATTCCTGACAGAGTCTTGACAGTAACTGTTGCCATTTGCAATGATAAAAGTATTTCTCGCCGGGCGGTGGTGGCGCACGCCTTTAATCCCAGCACTCGGGAGGCAGAGCCAGGCGGATCTCTGTGAGTTCGAGGCCAGCCTGGACTACCAAGTGAGTTCCAGGAAAGGCGCAAAGCTACACAGAGAAACCCTGTCTTGAAAAACCAAAAAAAAAAAAAGTATTTCTCATGCCCTAAGGAAAAAGTCTTCTTTTTCTTAAGACTCGTCTGTATTGATGAACATAAGAAAACTTTCTGTTTCTGAACAGAGAAGATAAATGCATGACTATACACTGTGTTTGATGACGTGTCAAGTCCACTTTGGGAGACAGCTGATCAGATAGCTTGAGCAGCAGTTTTGAGTCACAGATCCCTTCACAAAAACTTGATAACATAGCTATAGGAAAATTTTCAACTGTTTGAGGGAGTTCCCAGACTCTAAAGCCCATGCCTGGCCCCAGGGTAGCACAGTCCCTACCTCAGACATTCAGATGTGACTTCAAAGAAGCACAGACTCGCTTTACAGAAGCTTTGATGATGATGAAGGAAACTGGAAAAGGACAACTCATTTTCAAGCAAATTTCCTTTCATGCGGTTTATATTTCCTCATTCTTATGTAAAATTGAGAAAATTGTAGCTATAGAAAAAGGTAAGACCTGAGAACTCACTGTCCTCCCATTTTATCTGACATCTCAAACCATCACGGACACATACCTGATTGACAAGGGGAAACTCAGTGAAAACAAACATCTGCTCTGGTCTCTCAGAATGCACCTAAGTTGGGCCAAGAAGATGGCCCAGGGGGTGCTGCCAACATTATAAGCCTGAGTTCAACCCTCAGAACCCACGTGCTAGAAGGAGAGAGCTAATTCCTGTGGGTTGTCCTTTGACCTTTACATATGCACTGTGGCTTGTCAACCCCTCAGACACATAAATAAGTGTGAGAAAAAAATTAGAACTGACTTAAGTTATTAGATTCTCATTGCTTTACCTCATATGTTCACATGAAAATTTTTCCTTTTAACTGGGTGGTGGTAGCACATACCTTTAATCTCAGCCCTTGGGAGGCAGAGGCAGGTGGATCTCCGTGAGTCTACACAGTAAGTTCCAGGACAGCCAGGGTTACACAGAGAAACCCTGTCTTGAAAAGCCAGAAAAAAAAAAAATTTCCTTTTATTTCTTTTACATGCAAAGGCTACATTTTTCAAAACACCATCGTATTTTAGTTCATATGAAGATGTTTGTGACAAGTAATATATCAATTCTTCAAAACATTAAACATAGAATTGAGTATGACCCAGTAGTCCTGCTTCTTGTATGTACCCAAAAGTGAGGACATTGCAGCGCTGGTCACAGTAACCATAGGAGGAAGAAACACATGACAAAATCAAAATGTGATCTGTGCATACAATGAAATTGTATTTGGCTTAAAAATGAAAGTTCTGGCGTGTGCTACAAAATGAATAAGACCTGAAGACGACCTGTGAAGTGAGCCAGTCACAAAAGAATAAATACTGTACGATTCCACTTCATGAAGTGACTATCGTCAAATTCCTAGAGTAGAAAATAGAATGGTTTTGCCAGGGATGCAGAGAGGGAGAAACAGAGAGTTGTTATTTAGTAGGGAAGTCCAGTTTAGGCCAATGAAACACTTGTGGAGCTGGTGGTTGAGGATGGTCATCATCATACCACAGAGCAAATGTACTTGGTGACACTGGTTTGCACACTTGGAAAAGGTTAAAAGATAAAGTGTATGTTATATATTTTAACACAGAAAAAAAAAAGGTTCATAAGGATGAGTATTGACTTTGTAGAAAACACAAATTTGATTTATTAAATATACATTATAAACTGGTCTTCAAAAACACGGACTCATTTCTCAGTCTTTTTTTTTTTTTAGACAGAGTCTCAGTATGTAGTCCTAGCTTACTATGTAGACAAGGCTGGCTTTGAATTTACAGAGATCTACTGGCCTCTGCTTCCCAAGTGCTGCGATTGAAGGCATGTGCTAACACACCCTGCATTTTCTGTCTTAAATTTTTTGTTAATAATAATAATAGTAAAAATGTACATGATGCATGTGTGAGGGCAAGTGTGTAGGCCGTGTATTTCTTGCCTTCCACTCTTATGTGGGTTCCGGTATTGAATTTGTGCTGTCAAGCTTGCATTATGAGGAGGCAAGGGCCTTTACTTGCTGAGCCATCTTGGAGTACCTCACTCTTAGTAATCCAGATAAGATATACTATTATGCTAACCACATTTGTTGCAGTTTATAAGCTCATTTTGATCTCCATTTTATGTGATTAGGAAAATCAAGAGGACCTAGGCCTGTGGGAAGAGAAATTTGGAAAATTTGTGGATGTCAAAGCTAATGGTAAATTGTCAAAGTTAAGGATAAAGTATTAAAATAGATCATTCCAAAATAGCTAAATATTTATGTCTAAAAGTCACTTGAGGGCTTGGGTTACAGTTCAGTGATAGAGTACTTGGCTAATGTGGGGTTGCCCTAGGTTCAATCCCCAGTGCCATAAACAAACAAAAAAACTCCTTGAGCTTTGGCACTTAAAACAAGTAACTTCTGTAAGGTGAACAAAAATCTCTGGGTGGGGTTTCCTATTTTCAATAATGCATTGCAACAGAGAAGTAATTATATATACCTTATAGAAGAATGAGAGCGCTACATGGGCCACATGCAGCTTATGGTCTCAGGAAAGGGCCTGGGCCAGCACACTGCTTGCTGTTCTGAGTAAATCAGACAGCTATAAATTCCACATTCTACTTTCATGAGACCCAAGTGATGAGAACCCAAGTTATACAGCTCATCTACTCTAACAGTTTTAGCTAGTAATTCTCAATGTTTTTAGACCTCCTCATCATTGTCACAGGTGCTACATGCCTGTCTATGACATTTCTCACCAGCTTAGCAATATGGTTGGGAGGATGGGCTCACATATCACAGTCATGGGAAGTCATACACTGAGGATCTAGGAAAGCCTTCTTGCTGCTCTTATGTAAGAGTTCTTGTAGAGAGCCACAGACAAGGCTGGCAGGAAGCTTAGCAGGCCGAAGAGAGGCACAAACTCATCTAGCAAAGATTAAATGTGCTCAGTATCAGGGGAAAAGGAGCTTCAGCATACGGCTCAGGCAGCATAAGTAGTAAGTGAGCAGAGCTTTTCATACGTATACATTATGTATAACACTCACTTTTACATACACATACACATACATCCACCAGTCCCCAGACATCACAGCATCTTACTATCAAAATCAGTGCACAGCCTTGGTCAGTCGGGGCAAGTTCAGCTGTCTCTATTCCCAGTCTAGTTAGCTAAATTAACTGAATCTTCTAGATTGATCTGTTGAGAAGCAAACTCAGCCATGAGTCTGACCCCTACAGGTCCTTCCTCTGTTGGTTTGGATTTCTCCTTTCATGGGTTTGAACATCTCTATGGGATCCCTCAACATGCAGAATCACACCAACTTAAAAATACTAGGTAAGTGGCAGCAAGAATTCTTAAATCGTCTCTGGCTTGATACTACTTACGGAGTTAAGAAACCTTCCTAGTAGTTTTCAGGGTACCGAACAGTAAAAGAGAATTGAAAGCTAAGAACAAACAAGCGAGGATCTGTATGTTTATTCTCTCTCTGCTCTTGACTGTGAATGTCTGTAACAATGGACTGTAACCTGGAACTGTAAGCCAAATGAGCCCTTTCTCCCTAGGTTGTTGTTTTTGTGAGAGTATCTGTCACAGCAACAGAAATGAAACTAGCACAGGACATAAAACTGGAAAGAAAGAACCAACGCCACCAAGCTGTCCTCTGACTTCCGCATGTGTGTATACACACTCATATTAGTAAAAAAGCTGTAATAGTGAACCCAAAGATACAGAAACAAAAATAAGGAGTAATTTTAATTAGAGTGGAGGTTCGCTTTTACTGTGTAGGATCTTTTTTATGGAACCCTGGGAGAACAGTAAAAAGAAAATACTGATCTAGAAAAGGACTTTCACTCTAAAGAGGACAATATTCCAGAGAATGTGGCATCTCCAATTCCCTATGATTCCCTGGAGAGACCATTTCAGGCTGACACTACTGACAAATGGATCCCAGGGGCATCTGCCTAAGAGGAGTCAAGACCAAAGAGAAGCAGAGGCTGTTTTGAAGTTGTCAGGTCTGGAGACTGTTTATTTAGTAGGTCGGCATAGTGACTAGTCCCTACCCCCCACCCGAGCTCGGAGCCCCCCAGCTTGGGAGCCCCCCATCTCAGTCCTATTCCAGATCTTCAGGTGGGTTAGGATGTACTTCTTTTCCTTAGCTGCAGAGAAGTCTTCACACAGTCCATCAGCAGAGGGGGCTTATGTGTCTGGAGGATTCACAGGGGACCTTTAGAAAAGGTATTTCAGGATCCAAGCCTGAGGTTCCCAGGGAGCCAACAGAGACAGAGGAGGAGGATCACATGCACAGGTTGGGCCAGGAAACCTTTAGGCAAATGATAAGAGATGAGTCTTTGTAAGGGAATGGTTATATATAGGGTCTTGTTACATACCCAGGCTGACCTAGAACTTGCTATATAGCCCAGGCTGGCCTCTAACTCACAGTTCTCCTATCTCTACCCTCCAAGTGCTAGGATTATAAGTGTATGCCCTCACGCCTGGCAGGGGGTGAATGATCTGTTTACAGGAGACAATGAAGCTATTCTATTCATTAACAACCCACTTGTGTGTTTGGTGATAAGCCTCCTTTGTGTTTCAGGGACGGAGATGCATACCGTCTTTATAACCTAGATGTCTATGGATATCAAATACATGACAAAATGGGCATTTATGGTTCCGTGCCTTATCTCCTGGCCCACAAACAGGGCAGGACTGTAGCCATTTTCTGGCTGAATGCCTCAGAAACACTGGTGGAGATCAACACAGAGCCATCAGTTGAGGTGAGCTGTGGAATGTGCCTGCATGCCACACTACCACACTGCAGTCAGAGCCTTTTCTTTGCAGCAGCATTTTCCTGTGACCAAGAGCTTTGCAGTGTATTTGGCAAATGTCAGTAGGAGCTACCAAATGTAGATAAATTCACTTAGAACTGGGTGATATAGGTGAAATTTCTCAGATTTTCATTACATCCTTTTCCAGCACACACTGACCCAGATGGGCCCAGCAGCTGCCAAACAAAAGGTCAGATGTCGGACTGATGTGCGCTGGATGTCAGAGAGTGGAATCATTGATGTTTTTCTGCTGACAGGACCTACACCTTCTGACATCTTCAAGCAGTACTCTTCCCTCACAGGTACTTGCATGGAGATTGCTTGTTCCTCACTCCATTATGTGTCGTCTGTCCTGTGTATCATCACTGCAACTTAATATTTGTTCTACACTATGTGGAAATCACAAACAACATCCCTAAGCATTTTAAGTAGCAAGCGTTTTTCTTCCCATCCTCATTACATCCAGGCAAGCTAAACATGACACTAGACTGCCCACTCTCTATCCTAACACTTGTCCTATGCCTGCGCCTGCTTGGAGCCTTTAGTCTCTGGGAATAATCTCCCTGTAGCAAAGAGTATTCCACCCTGGACTTTTAAATGTGTTCTTCTCTGTTTAAATATACTACTGGCTTTAGCAGTAAAATATTTGTTCTTTAAGAGACTAAAGGTCAGGGCCAGTGAAATGGCTTGATGGGTAAAGACGCCGCCAAGCCTGAAGACCTGGTCACAGGGACCCTCGTGGTAGAAATAGAAAACTAACTCCTACAGGTTGTCTCCATACACACACACACACACACACACACACACACACACACACACACACATACACACTAAATTAATGGAAATGCACATGCTCTGCTCCTTGCAGGATAAGCCATCTTTCTCCTAGCTTCACCCCAGGCTGGTAATTGGGTCAGCTAAACTGGAAGTTCCTTTCCTCAGAATTCAAAGGCATTTCTCTCTTGTCCCTGTCTTCTTACTCCAAAACCGTCCATTGGATTCCTCTTCACATGATCTATCTGTTCTCACTGAACTACCTTCCTTATCACTGATATTGGGAAATTTTACAGTAAGTTCCCTTGATGCATCCCTTTCAAATGGTTTCTGTACTGAGGGTGAGATGTGGACACTTCCAGTCTTAGTGTCCTTCAGCCCTGGGAAACAGTCTCTACCGTTCCCTTCAGAGTTTCGCATCCTTGTTCTTTCTCCTTTTTTCTTTTTGCCTCTTCTCTGAGAAACTTTCTCCATCTTGTCTCCCAGGCCTTCCATTTATGTTGTCATGTTTCTGATGTGGAGGACATTCCTATCTCTGACCCCCCCCCCCCCCCGTGTATTCTTTGTTCCATGATGCCTAGTCTACTTTGTTAGTCTTTTATCTTTTTTCATCCTTTGAGATACTGATGATAATGGTCTTTTAAAAGATTGTATTTTTCCCAGCACTCGGGAGGCAGAGGCAGGCAGATCTCTGTGAGTTCGAGGCCAGCCTGGGCTACAGAGTGAGTTCCAGGACAGGAGCCAAAGCTACACACAGAAACCCTGTCTTGGGGGGAAAAAAGATTTTATTTTTATTTTAAAATTGTGTACATACATGTTGAGATAAAGTTCCTGCAGGGCCCAGAAGAAGGTGTCTGAGCCCCTGGAGTTACAAGTGGTTATCGGCCACCCAACATGTGGCTCTGCATGGAAGCCCTTGGTACCTGGAGGAATCTGGTACCCTAGCACTTGAGGAGCATGTGGGGGCCCCTGGCTCTGAGATTTTAGAGCAGGGAAGTGCTACTCTCCACCTTTGTGCCTTCCTCACACACTCCGGGTGGTTCAGCAGACACCACCTCCCCCTTACCTCCCACCCTCCAGACTATGCTGAACATTCTTCCCTGGTTTGTTCTTTTGTTTCAAAGCTTCGCTTTTGTAGTAATTTTCATGAATCAGTTCTCTACTTCCACATTGTGGGACCCAGGGATTGAACTCAGGTCAACAGGCTTGGTAGCAAGACCCTTTACCCGCTGAGCCATCTCACTGCCCTCATTTTTTTTAAAGACAGGATCTCATGTACCTCAAGCTGACTTTGAACTTTCTATGTAGCCAGGGATGACTTCAAACTTATAATTCCTCTCCCTCTCCCTCTCCCAAGTACTGGGATCACAGGCATGCATCACCACCAGTTTTGTAGAGTGCTAGGGATTTTGAACCCAGAGTTTTGTGCATACTAGACAAGTACTCTGCCACCTGAGCTGCCTCCACAGCCCCCTGCTTTGCCATTTGATACTGTAAGTGAAAATTATGAGAAGAGTCTGATCTTGAAGAACAGGGCTCTTTATAAACTGATCCTTGCCAGTTTCATCTCCTCTCCGTGTCTCACATTGTAATCCCTGCAGGATTTATTTTCTCCAAGACCACATGTACTTCTTTGCCTGTGTCTCTAGTCTCTGTTCTTATGAGTGCTACCTGGTCTCCCTGCCTGGCATCCTCCTACTTATTCAAAGCCTCCACCCTTCTCATCTGCCTTGGGAAACTTCTGAAGATCCCACATTACTCTATAAGCAGAATGTACATGTTCCCACAGCACTATACCGTTAGCATAGCAGTTATACCTCAGGACGGGGTTTATTTATATGCCTGCCCCATCACCCTAATTGCCACTGTCTTCAAGGCAGGGTCTATTTTTTTCTTATCCTTGATAGCCTATGCAGTAGCAAGCCCAGTGCTTAATCCCCTGTAGAGATTGGGGAGATGTTCACTGATTGAGTAACATTAGTGGCCTCCATTGTCATCTTCTTTTTGAGGTACACAAGCCATGCCCCCTCTTTTTTCCCTGGGGTACCACCAGTGCCGCTGGAACTATGAAGATGAGCAGGATGTGAAGGCAGTGGATGCAGGTTTTGATGAGCACAACATCCCATACGATGTCATGTGGCTGGACATAGAGCACACCGAGGACAAGAAATACTTCACCTGGGACAAAAAGAGATTCCCAAACCCCAGAAGGATGCAAGAGCTACTCAGGAGCAAAAAACGCAAGGTGAAGTCAGCCTGATGTTTAAAGCTTTTTAATCCCAAAGTTAGATTTGTCTGGGCACACCAGCAGAGGAAGACCCTCTGATGAAAAAGTCATTGTGAAAATAGTGCCTTCCAATTAATAGTAACTGTGATAACAGAAGACCGGTGTTCAAAGGTAAAGACGGGTGCTGAAATGCGGTGACGCCATCCACCCCTGCCACAGTGTGAAAACCCCCAGAACAGTGAAGGGGCCTGAGTCTTTCAGTCCTGTTGGCTGCAGCTACCCTGCTGGGAAGGCGCCCTTCTCCCCAAAAAGTTGGCCCCATTGTCAAAATTGGTGGTACTACACAGACATCAGAAGCAGAAAAGTTTCTCACATAGCGAGGCATCTGGAGAGAGCTGGGCTGTCTCCCAAACTGCTTTGAAAATGGCTTGAGAAAGCTGGGAAAGGGGACCAGCCTGGTGTCCCTGGTGGCTAACAGGTGGTGCTGGGCTAAGAGTTCTTCCACACGGGCTGCATTGCTTGAATTCCTGCCACCAACAAACATCAGAGCTAGTTTTGTCAGCTTGACTGCAGGTGGGCAGAAGGGTAGGAGGACATGGCAGGGCTTGAAAGTCTTAACAACAGAGGGTCAAAAACGGAGTCCTGGGGACCAAGGTGGCTCAGCAGGTAAAGGTGCTTGCCCCCCAAGTCTGACAACTTGAGTTTGATCCCAGGATCCCACATGGTAGGAGAGAACCAACTCATGCAGCTTGTCCACGTGCACACCATGACAAACATGTGCCTCCCCCTGCTCCCCACACAAATAGACGAGTATAATTAAAGGGAAAAAAAGTAGCCAGATTCTCTATTTTTTTTCATACGTTTCACTGACAGATTCTTCCTGTAAATTTGGCCAAGGGAAGAACTGAAATTTAAAGGAGAAGGAGAGAAACCACTGAGAAGTACATAGTTGCAGTTACTATTTTGACGGTTTGGTTTGGTTTTAACGTTAGTTCTGTGGTTTCTGTGGTTTGGAAGGGGCTCGTGAGGGGATGGGTGCACACATATGCCTGTAGAAGCCAGAGGACAGCCTTATATAATTTCCTGGATGCTATCCATTTTTCTTTTTTCTTTTTTGTGAGACGTGGTCTCTCACTGACTTGGCTGGCCAGGGGACCCCACAGACCTGCCTCCTCCTCCCCAGTGCTGGGATTACAAACCTGTGCCATCATGCCTGAATTTTTCACATTGGTTCTGGGACTCAAACTCAGTCCTCATGCTTGCAAGGCAAGTCCTTTATTTACTGACTAAGTTAGATCCCCAGGCCTGTTCTTGATTTCTTTAATGATTTATTTCATTGGTGTTATAATATGCCTCTAAATACCTACGGAGTTAGGATCTTGCCTATTTAATCCCCTCTTGTAGCACCTGGCATCACAGACAGAAGCTTGGTAAACGCCATCTTAAACGTGTGTGGGGGCTGCTGAGATGGCCCAGTGGGTAAAGGCACTTTGCCACCAAGTCTGTGAAACTGAGTTCAAGCCCCAGAACACACAAGGTGGCAGGAGAGAACCATCTTCTTACAGACCAACAAACAGACACACACAAAATAAATAAATAACTGTAAAATAATCATTAAAAACGATAAACCATGACAATTAGAAAAGAGGATTTATCTGATTTGATAACTTTTTTTTTTGGTTTTTCAAGACAGGGTTTCTCTGTGTAGCCCTGGCTGTCCTGGAACTTGCTCTGTAGACCAGGCTGGCCTTGAACACACAGAGATCTGCCTGGCTCTGCTTCCTGAGTGCTGGGATTAAAGTCCTGCATCACCACTGCCTGGCTGATAACAACTTTTAGTGAAAGGTTATAGGGATTTAGCAATGTCCAAAATTTTCAGTGAGTTGTAGTTTCTGAGTAAACCTCGACTCTCCCCATCCCAAACTATGGTGAAAACACCCGAGTGAACATAAGCCTCATAAAACTGACATGGTGTTTAAACCTCTGTCCTGACAGCTTGTGGTTATCAGTGACCCCCACATCAAGGTGGATCCTGACTACTCATTATATGCCAAAGCCAAAGAACAGGGCTTCTTTGTGAAGAACCCAGAAGGTGGCGACTTTCAAGGAGTGTGTTGGCCTGGTATGGTAACCCCATTCCACTGGTTCTGTCCCAATTAATAAAACATCTGTGGTTACATTCTCATTCACTGTGGGCATCTCTTTCTCTTCCAGACACATTTTTATCACCTTTAAGGGAGATATGTCATCGCCTTTTTGGTATCTTTAATAACACCTGGTAGAGTGAGCTATGAGTGCATTTATCAGTCAGTGACCAGAGGAATGAATGAAAAATAAGCAAGCAGACTAATCTCCATGACATGTTAATTCTCTAAGCAAACAGAGATAAGAAGTAGGGAGTGAGGAAAGTGTCAAGGGAGGGGGGTGAGATGCAGAGATGAAGTGTCTAGCAGGCAGGCTCTCCCTTGTGGTTGCTCTTGGTCCTTTTAGCCCATAGTTTTGACTTTCAGCCTCTCATGAGTGACCTCAGCTGCCTGTGGAACTCTAGATGCAAAAGTTGCTAGTTTAAAGCCTTGTTAGAAATTCACCGAAGACCAAAAGAAATCCCCACTGTGTCATAAATCCAAGTGCTGTGGAGAAACCAGTACCTTCCTTTTCTCCTTTGAGCCATTTGAACAAGTCCATATTCTCTTGAAAAACTCGGGTCACTGCAGGGTATTGGGCAGCCTTTCCTGCCTTTCTCAGCCATTAGTGAAGGCCAAGCTCCATCCTGACACCTGCTCATTGGCGTGCCCATGGGCTCTGGTGTTGAAAGTTTAAATTTCGTCTCTTTAAAGATTGCTTCGTTCACTTGTTGCGGACCACACCTGTCTCAGTCGTCTTTTGTCCTTGACATAAGGTGTCCATTGGTAACCTGACTCTCGCATCTTCTTCCCCGCACATCTAACTGTAAAGACCACTGTTCCTGACAGACTGCCCACTCTCGTGCCTCTGCAGGTCTCTCGTCTTACCTGGATTTCACCAATCCCAAGGTCAGAGAGTGGTATTCCAGCCTTTTTGCTTTTCCTGTTTATCAGGTTGGTTTTTATTCTCTTTCTGTTTCCTAGTTAACCTGAAAGATTAAAGGAAAAGGTAATTGCTTAGAACTGCTTTAACTAAGTAGCTTTTGATATATTGCACATATAAAAGGCTAGAATAGATACTACATTATAGACTTTGATGGTATTTGGAAGGGTACTATATACAATACTAGATGTATAAAAATTGTGGTTTTTACCTATATCAAAATACAGTACAATGTATTTTATTCTATTTTCTAAACACTATGTACATTTTAATATAAAATCCTATTCTATAACTATTATTGAAAATTAATATGAAGACAGGCATGGGGCCACAGTAATCATAGCACTTGGGAAAATGAGCAGAAGAATTGCCTTGAATGGTGATGCACACATTTAACCTCAGTTGTCAGGCAGAGGCAGATGGATTTCTGTGAGTTGGAAATTAGCCAGGTCTACATAGCAAGTTCCAGGACAACCAGGGCTACATAAAAAGACCCTGTCTCAAAAAGAGAAGACTTAGGATTAGGGAAATAGCTCAGTTGACAGAGTGCATGGCTGGAAGGCCTGATCCCCAACACTGCAAAGACCCATGGTAGTACATGCCTGTAATTCCAGCATGTGGGAGGTGGAGGGTCAGAAGTTAATGTCGTCTTCAGCTAATTATCAAATTCAAGACCAGCCTAAGCAACATGAGAGCTGGAGAGAGAGAGAGAGAGAGAGAGAGAGAGAGAGAGAGAGAGAGAGAGAGAGAGAGAGAGAGAGAGGAGAGAGAGAGAGGGAGAGAAGGAAGAAAGAGCCCCATCAGCAATAAAGTAGCTATGACAAGTGTGAAACTATCTTATAAACCAGTGGTTCTCAAAACCTGTGTCAAAACCCCTTAGGAGGTCGACTGACCCTATCACAAGGGTCACATATCAGATATTTACATTGCGATTCATAACAGTAGCAAAATTATAGTTATAAATGGGGAACTGTATTAAAGAGTTACAGCATTAGGAAGGTTGAGAACCACTGTTATAAGCCATAATGTATTGTTAAAAGAAAAATATAATAATCAAAATCATAAAAGAACCATGGAAAGAACTGAGATCACATTAGAGACCTGTTTTCAGTCAGTTATGGTGATGATGACAATCACGGTAATACCTAACACAATGAAAGCCACGTGCCAAGTGCTGTCTTAGGCATTTGATGTGCATTACCCCCATTTCTTCTTGATAAAAATGCTCTAAATTGGAACGATAATTAAATCTTAACCCCACATGTAAGAAAATTGAGGTGTGGAGAGTTTTAAAACCCACAAAGATCACCCATTTACTAAGTGATGGACCCAAGATTTGAATTCAGGTCTAGTTGTGTCCCAAGCTCAGCTTTTAAGCACAAGATACTTGCTTCTGAGCGTCACTGACTAGGAGATTAGAAAAATACTTATAACACTATAGACAACAATCCTTAGGCAAAATATGGCTATAGTCATTCACTTCATTATTGTCTGTGGCTGCTTTCATAATACTGTGCCAGAGTATAATAATTAAAGAGCTCTTATCATGCATAAAGATGGAAATGTACATTATCTAGATCTTTATAAAAAGAAGAAGAGGAGGGGGAGAAGGAGGAGGAGAAGAACACTTGCTGATCTTTGCCTTAGAAGTGCCAAAAGAAGACTGAAGGCAAATATTTGAAAACTATACACCCTTATTCTTAGAAGTGCGTTTGCTTAGAAGCCAGGCATGGTGGCACACACCTTTAATCTCAGCACTCAGAGGCAGAAGCAGGTGGGTCTCTGTGCATTCAAGGTTAGCCTGGTGTACATAGTGAGTTCCAGGACAGTCAGAGCTACATAATAGAGAGTCTCCAAATAAAGGTACATTTGCTTAAAAATAGTTAAGGAAACATATAGGCCACATTCAAACATTGGAAAGATCATCTATCATGTGGATAAGGTCTCAGATGTGTTCTCTAGTGTCCTGGGAGGAAGCTAGGCCTTATTAGGACATGGTGTAAAGAACACAGCATTAAGAAATAGTGGAATAAGATACCTGAGTCTCCCTGTAATGATATTCAAATGCTGAGAGACCATGAATTTTATAAAAAGAATTTTAATACCATTTTGAGTAGATGGAAAGAACACAAATTATATGTCAACAAACAGATAACTCAACTGTCAAGTCTTTCAGAGTATTAGAGAAAAAATAAATTCATGTGTAGTAATAATTGCTTTTAGTTAGGAGTTGTAGCAGAGATTTCTTCACAGCTTTTTAGATAAGATCAAGCAAAGACTCGTAGTAGATAGTGGATGATACAGAGCCTCATGGTTTTTACAATTTTTCTGGCACATATTCCCTAAGGATGTCTTTGTGTGAACTTACAGAGCAGTGTGTATTTCACAGATAATACAGTGTAGCATTCTTTTTTTTTTTTGGTTTTTCGAGACAGGGTTTCTCTGTGTAGCTTTGCGCCTTTTCTGGGACTCACTTGGTAGCCCAGGCTGGCCTCGAACTCACAGAGATCCGCCTGGCTCTGCCTCCCGAGTGCTGAGATTAAAGGCGTGCACCACCACCGCCCGGCAGTGTAGCATTCTTATCAAAAATATTTATTGATAGCTTTCTTTGAGTCAGATACTGTTGTAAGTGCATGGGATTTTCATTGGATAAAACAGACAAAATTTACAACCCGACTGGCATAAAAAATTAAATAAATAAGAAAGAAAGAAAGAAAGAAAGAAAGAAAGAAAGAAAGAAAGAAAGAAAGAAAGAAAGGAAGGAAGAAAGAAAGAAGAGAGGGAAAGAGCAGGGATGCTATCCTGTTAATATCATCCCTGGGGAAGGATTCTCATGAACAGGGTTCACCTCCTAGGGATCTACAGACATCCTCTTCATATGGAATGACATGAATGAGCCCTCAGTCTTCAGAGGGCCAGAGCTAACCATGCAAAAGAATGCCATTCATTATGGGAACTGGGAACACAGGGAGCTTCACAACATCTACGGCTTTTATCAGGTAAGTCATCCCAATCAGAAGCCAGCCAGAGTCATGTGCCCTGCTTTTAGACAGGGAGTCAGTTCTGTAATCAAGTGTACTGCCAGGTCTCTTTGTATGTGTTTGCTGTCACCTACAGTGAGTCTCAGATGACAGCCAGTTTATTATTTCTCCCTCTGCTTCCTTTTTCGTTCACAATAAACCCGATAAATCTAAAAATATTCTATATGGCATTTAATACTACTAGAAGACTTTTACTGGCACAGGCAATCTATAAATATGTTAACAAAGGTAATTAAGGCAAGGTTTTAAAACTTTGTATATCTCCATCTATTGCTAGCTTAGTTGAGGTTGGTGGCACACATGTGCAACCCTAGCATTCATGGTACAGAGGGATTGTGAATTAAAGGCCAGCCTGACCTACGTAATGAGTTCTAGGCCAGCCTAGACGATGCAACAAGAGTCTATCACAAAAGCAAAAAGCAAACAAGGGCTAGTGATGGCTCAATGTTTAAGAGTTCTTGCTGTTCTCCCAGAGGACCTGAGTTTGTTCCCAGCACCTATACTGGGCAGATTACAACAGCATGTAACTCCAGCTCCAGAAGATCCAATACTTTCTCTGGCCTTCGGAGGCACCCACACAGGGAGTACACACTCACATATACATAAATTTTAAAAATATTTTTAAAGGGGCTGGAGAGATGGTTAAGTGGTTCAATCCCCAGCATCCGCATGTCAGCCAACAACCATCTGTAATTCCATTCCAAGGAATCCAAAGCCCTCTTCTGGCCCCCATGAGCAGTACATGCCCATAATGCACAGACATACATGCAGGCAAAACATCCACATATAAAACAAACAAAAAAAACTAAAAAAAAATGTTTAAAAAAATCAAACAACAAATAAATATGTATATACATTCACACCAGGAAAGCAAGACTTAACACATAGATTTATATTTTAATAAGTATATGTCATAGTTTCCATTGCAGTGATAAGACACCATGGCCAAGGTAACTTATAAATGAAAGCATTTAATTTACCTTATGGATTCAGAAGGTTAGAGACCATGGTGGGATACAGAGGAATGGCTGGGAGCTCACGTCTTGATCCATAACTACAACTTTAAGAGGGAGGCACACCGGGAATGGCAGGAGTGTTGAAACCTCAAAGCCTACCCCTGGTGACACACCTCCTCCACCAAGGTCACAACCTCCTAATCCTTCCCAAACAGTTCCACCAACTGGGGACCAAGTATTCAAATATGTGAGCTATTCGCATTAAAACCACCACAGTACAGTTTTTAAATGTGCAAACTTTCCTAATTTGCTCAGCCTTCTGAATAAAGGTGGTGGAATTGTCCTCTATTTGCTAATCATATCCAAAGATTGAGAATCACTTACCCTAACTTATATCTGTGAGTCTTTGTTATTTTTTAGAATAAGACTGTATGCCTATAGGTCTCCCACAATCGCTATTTTCTAATGGGAGCTGCTGGCTGGATATAGCCTTTTCCAGATACTACATGTTTATTTCTCTATCAGCTTTTTGCTTTAATTGCCAACGGCCTTTGGGAGTTTCTTATGTAGGCTGAAGTGGACACTTAACATCTCTGAATTTATTTTTTTAGTCAATGAAAACCATTTGACTCACAGATTATTGTGCAGACCATAAGGAAATATATTATAAAATGCCGACCAATAGTACCACTGAATAAATGGTAGCTTGGTTTTTTTGTTTCGTTGTGTTGTGTTGTGTTGCGTGTGTGTGTGTGTGTGTGTGTGTGTGTGTGTGTGTGTGTGTGTGTGTGTGTTTTCTGCAGTTCTGGGGACTGAACCCTGGGCCCCAGGCATGCTGGGTAGCCACCCGTCTACTCATCTGCATCCCTATTCCTCTTTACTATTATTCCATTGACATTGCTAACCGAATAAATGTTCCAACTTTACTAGGCAAATTGGTATCATTCACTGTATCATCAAAAAGACTTGATGGGTTTATTATTTCCCTTTTCACGGTCCCCCCAGCTGCTACTTTTCTCATATTAGTAGTCTATTGAGGATGTTGGCACAGTGCCCTCACCCTGCCTCCTCTTTCCAATCTTTCTCCACTGACTTACAGCAAATGGCTACTGCAGAAGGATTGATTCAGCGGTCTAAAGGGAAGGAGAGACCCTTTGTTCTTTCACGTTCTTTCTTTGCTGGATCACAAAAGTATGGTAAGAAATGGCTCACGTTATAAGACACAAGGGAGCTACCCACCCTTTTCTTTAGAGCATTTATGTATCATATATGCTGCCTGCTGCCTCCACGTTCCTCTCCAATAGCCTTCTAACTTACAATGTAGAACATGATGTCCTCTAGCATGTGTATTTTATGCTATGAATAAATGGTTTGTAGGTACCTCAGTTGGTAGAGTAGACTGCCTGGGTTTAATGCTCAGCACCATATAAACCCAGGCAAGCTGGTGTATGTTTGTAATCCTAGCACTCAAGAGGGGGAGGCAGAGGGAACAGAAGTTCAAGGTCATTGTCCAAGGCCATCTTGGGCTTCTTGAGACCCTGTCTCCCTCCCACACCCCAAAAGACAGTAAACCAATTTTCATCAAGTTTAGTACTTTTTTTCCTACTAAAGAAATGGCCACTTACTTGTTGGGAGAGTGACTTCAGAGTATTCCCTTTTCTGACGTGGTCATCTCTGATCCTATCTTTTTGACTTGGGGAAACACATCTCTAACACATGGCTTCAGCCAGTGTTCCACTTAGCCATGTGGTTTAAAATAGACCTGGCTGGTGCTTGCTGTCAGGGTCATCCATGACTGGATCTGGTTTACCAGCTAATACAGATCTAGTTCAACTTCACCACTCTGTGGCAGGAAGGCTATTTTAAGGCCCCTGGCCTTGCGTAAGTAACTGAGAGCTTAGGTCCTAGTGTAAAGAACCTCACCTTTGTTGTATCGTAGACATGTTTGGGTCTCTCACTCAACCTCCCCAGACCAGCTCCTGTGTTCTTCAGCCAAAGGACAGAATAGTGTCAACAGAGATGCTCATCACAGCATTAGACCTTGAGGCCAAAAGAAAAGTTTACATGTGTAGCAGTAAAGGAAGGGTTACAAAGGTATGGGTTAACTGCAGGACAAACTGTCATGATAAAGGCAGTTTATAGTTTAAAATGGGGGCGTGACACATGCCACCTGTGTAGAGGTCAGAGGACAACCTGGGGTGGTTAGTTCCCTCCTTCCTTAAAATGGTAGTTTTAATTTCATGAGAATGTGTTTGTAACATTATATAGAAATGTTACAATATTTTTTATTTAACATTGTTTATTAACATTTATTTAATATTGTTTAACAATATTTAACATTGTTAAAAATGTAAATGTAGTAATTTAAATCAGTAAACAGATTTCAGGAAAATATAAATTTAAGCCTATAATCCCAGCATTTGGGAGTGGAAACAGGATGATCAGGAGTTCAAGGTCATCATAAGCTACATAGAAATTTGAAACCAGCCTAAGACACATGAGATTCTGTCTCAAAAATAAATAAATAAGTAAATAAGGGCCAACACGATGGCTTACTGGATAAAGGCACTTGCTGCCAAACCTAATGACGTGAGTTCAATCCCAGGGATCCACACGGTGGGAGGGGAGAACCAACTCCTACAACCCAGGCTAATAGTGAGTTCCTATCTCAGTAAAAAAAACTACAGGGGAAATCACGGAGGGGGAATTAATGAAAATGTTTATAGACAGCAGTTCAAAACTATAATAAGAGATATGAATGTTAATTTTTTTTCTTTTGGAGTTTTTGACACAGGGTCTCACGATGTAGTACAGGCTGGCCTTGAACTTGTAGCGGTCCTCTTGTCTCTCCCTCCCCAGGGCTGGAATTGCAAGTGTATGCTGCCATGCCCTGTGCTGTCTGAGTCATTTCTGATCTCTTAGATGCTGGTCCGTTTTCTAGTCTGCAGTACTCTGTGTGACTATTTGCCCCAGTGTGTAGCAAGGAGAACATGACTTATTTAGTCACATGCTTGACCAATAACTATAAAGAACTTGTGAATGAACAATTGTGTTAGCCAAGATACATCTGTGTGTCTACGTGAGCTTTCTTGATGAAATTGTTGCCATGATTTCAAAATTACTGTGTAGATACTTCCCTAGCTCAACTGATGTCGAGGAAAAATTAGTAGAGTGTTGTTTTAAAAAATCCCTTGAAAATATTTTTCTCGGGCTGGAGAAATGGTTCAGTAGTTAAGGGCACTGCTGTTCTTCCAGAGGACCTGAGTTCAATTCCCACATGGCAGCTCACAACTGTCTGTAACTCCTGTTTCAGGGGATCCAATGCCTTTATACAGACATACATGCAGGCAAAACACCAATGTACATAAAATTTTGAAAAAATAAATCAATTATTAAAAAATATTTTTCTCTGCCTAAAGGACAGTTCAACATTTCTACAGAAGATTAAACCAAAATATCTACTGAAACAGTTTTGGTAAAAGATAGACCAAAAAAGGCTTCAAGATTAATCTAGATGTCATAAAATAAGAGTATTTTATGTGTCTCTTTAGTAATATTATAATCTGTCATCATAAACTCTTATCAACTACAGTGTGAACTGGAACCTTGGCTTTAACAGTCTGACATCTTGCCTCAAATCTACTTAACAACTACATAACTAGGCTAGACTATGGAGCCACTGTTAATCATATTTCCCTAATCTTTAAAGTAGAGCTAATAATAGTGTTTGCCTGGTAGGATTGTTGTGATAATAAGTGGGACAAGAAACCCAGAGTATTTAGCTATATTTTTTTATTTTGTTTTTTTTTGTTTGTTTGTTTGTTTATTTTTGAGACAAGGTTTCTCTGTGTAGCCCTAGCTGTCCTGGATCTTGCTCTATAGACCAGGCTGGCCTTGAATTTACAGAGATTCGCCTGCCTCTGCCTCCTAACTGCTGGGATTAAAGGAGTGTGCCTATGTTTTATGAACCTTAATAACTTTTTCACATTAAAAAATTGATACATTTTGCAGAAAGATCAGAATTTGTTTAAAGTGGAAATCTGTTTCCTATTTTATTATTTTTGTCTTTTACAAATATGGAGTGTAAATGAAATGGAGTGCATTGGATGATTTATGTGTGTTTCCGTGCCTTGTTATGGGCAATCTAAGGTGCTGTCTGGACGGGAGACAACACAGCAGAATGGAACTATCTGAAAATTTCCATCCCAATGTTACTCACCCTCAGTGTCTCAGGGATCTCTTTCTGTGGAGGTAAGCTGATTCCTGACTTGAGGTTTCCAGTAGGAGGAAATGAGAAGTGAGGGTCCTCAGTGGCCCTTAGCTGTTTGGGGCAAGGATGAATGCAGGAGAGAAAATGGGAGGAGAGCAAAAGGGTTGCTTCAAAATGTATTGTACAGCCCGCTGAGGTGGCTCACACCTTTAATCTCAGCCCTCTAGAGGCAGACGTAAGAGGATCTCTGAGTTCAAGGCCAGCCTGGTCTACATAGCAAACTCCAGGACAGCAGGCACTACATAGAAAGACCCTATCTCAAATAAATAAAATAAACGTCTTACATGTATCTTGTCTGAATTGAGGACATGAAGTCAGGCAGGAGATGGGGAGTGTGTTTCATTCCCTCGTTCCCACAGCACTACCTCCAGAGACACAGTAACGGAGTGTTCTAGAAACATACTCTTCTTCTTGAAAGAATGAGAGCACTGCAAACAACTTAGCAAACAGAAAGCCAGCCTGGGTCTGAGTGTGCAGGCCAGCAGAGTACTAGCCTGGTGTGCTCAAGGCCCTGGGTTTGACGGGCAGCAGCATAGTCGAGGGACTAAGAGAGCCAGCCGTACAGAATTGCTTTCTGCTCGGCAGATGGAAGATTCTGTGACACAGTTTAAGCATGTTCTTCACTAAGATGTGCTCAGTTGGGACAGCGCTTGCCTAGCATGCAGGAAGCCCTCAGTTTGATCCCAGCCCTACACAAAACCAAGTATGGCCGCACATACCTAAGACCCCAGCACTAGGACGTGGAAATAGAAGGCTCAAAGGTTCCAGGTTGTCCTTAGCTGCTAGCAAAACCGAGGTCAGACCAGGCTATAGAAGACCCTGTCCGAAGAAGACGCGACTGGAAATGGCTCTGTTAGTGAAGTGCTTGCCACACAAACATGAGGACCTCAGTTCCGAAGCCCAGCACACCTGTGAAAGAGCCAGGCACAGCGGCACATCCCTGCAACCCCAAGCTGGGGAACCCCGAGCTGGGGAAGCGGGGCTACGAGGGTCCCTGTTGCTTCCTTGCCAGTCAGTCTAGCCAAAAATAAAGTAGAGAGTGATTGAGGAAGACACTGAAGTCAGGTTGTGGCCTCTACATGCACATATACCTTCTCACACGTGTACACACACACACACACACACACACACACACAACACACACACACACACACAAGATGGATTTAGTTCAAATACATGTCTGAGGGCTTGCCTTCTCTGCCTGCTGAGAATTCAGTGCAGATAAGCAAACCAATATGAAGGTGCTTGGTATATACTGGCTGCAGTTCTAGCTGCAGATCTGAATGCTTTTTATTCTCTTCAAACATAAAAACAAATTAATATCACTTTTTGATAGATGTGTCTTTACGACATTGGTCCACATGCAAGAAATGCATGTCCTGCTCAAGAGGTGAGCATGAAATTCTACCTAAACCCCCAAGGCTGATAACTTGATTTTCAGTGGTTGATATTGTTTTAGCCTTTGCTTTCAAAAGAAATAAATTACCAGCTGCCTTTCCTTTAGTATACAGACACACACCTAAGCAGGGAGACGTGCAATTTCTGGGTAATGGAGGATCCAGAACACACAGGACAGCTGCTCTTACAGAAAAGCCTGTGACCTTTCCACAAAAAGAAAAAAGGGGAAACAAACAAACAAACAAAACAAAACAAAAAACCATAGAGCATTCTGCCAGATCCTGGGCTGGTGTTCATGGCTCAAACTCCCCCATTTGAGGCCATAGGTTTGCTGTTGCGTTGAGTGTGCACGTAGAGCATCTCCTCTCAGTTTTCAGGGCCTTATCTTACCTTAATGCATCATTTATTCCAAGTCTGGTTTCTTCATCCCGTCTTTCTCCGTCTAACCAGCGGATGTGGGTGGCTTCATTGGCAACCCTGAGGCGGAGCTGCTGGTGCGTTGGTACCAGGCTGGAGCTTACCAGCCCTTCTTCCGTGGTCACGCTACCATGAACACCAAGCGGCGAGAACCCTGGCTGTTTGGGGAAGAGTACACCCGGCGGATCCGGGAAGCTATCCGAGAGCGCTATACCCTCCTGCCCTACCTGTATTCTCTGTTCTACCGTGTGCACACGTCTTCTGAACCCGTCATGAGGTAGAAAGGGCGTCGTCTGTTTAGAAGTTCCAACAACCTACCAACAAATCATACCCACACCCCCCACACCCTCCCCCCTCCCCCCCCGTGATGAGGGGCTGGAAAAGCGGGACAAAAGCCATGTGTTCAGTCAGGTTTCAATCAGCTTCAATGCCTGTTGTGCACGGGGTGCTGGCTGCTGTGTGTGGGGTGCTGGCTGCTGTACACAGGGTGCTGGCTGCTGTGTGTGGGGTGCTGGCTGTTGAAGACACAGAAGCTACTGACTAGATCCTCTGCTTATGATTATTGATATTTGCTGAGAGCTGGAAATGTAAAGAATAAGGAAATCGCCGGGTGGTGGTGGTGCATGCCTTTAATCCCAGCACTCGGGAGGCAGAGCCAGGCGGATCTTTGTGAGTTCGAGGCCAGCCTGGACTACCAAGTGAGTTCCAGGAAAGGTGTAAAGCTACACAGAGAAACCCTGTCTCGAAAAACCAAAAAAAAAAAAAAAAAGGAAATGACTTTACAGCTAAATAACTTTAGCATTTTATGCATTAGCCTCCTCTCATGAAAAATAATTTCCCACCGGGCAGTGGTGGTGCATGCCTTTAATCCCAGCACTCAGGAGGCAGAGACAGGCGGATCTCTGTGAGTTCGAGGCCAGCCTGGTCTACAGAGTGAGATCCAGGAAAGGCACCAAAACTACACAGAGAAACCCTGTCTCAAAAAAACAAAAGAAAAAAACAAAAGGAAAAATAATTTCCCTCTATCTGAGGCTTGATCTTACCCATAGAGTTGAACTTGAGGTGGGGATTTTTTTTTCCTAGCATATAAATTCTACTTTGAAAGCCAAAATCAACTTTCTAGTTAGAGAAGAACATGCACAGAGTTCAGAGTCAGCAGTTCCTAAACTTGCTTCAGACCAGACATTTCCTGGTGATTCTAATCATCAGCCAGCATTAGCGACACCCGCTTCATTACCATTAATAAATAACAAGTTTCATTTACTAAAAAAATTAAATTGGGCTGGAGAGTTGGCTCAGCAGGTAAGCAGTTGTTGCTCTTAATAAGGACCTGGGTTCAATTCCCAGCACCCACATGGTGCCTCACACCTGCCTGTAACTCCAGTCCTGGGGGATCCAATGCCCTCTTTAGGTACCCACAGGTACCAGGCATGCATATGGTGCATCTATATATATGCAAGCAAAACACTCATACACATAAAATAATTTTAAAACCCTAAAAAAACTTTTTCAGTTAAAAAAATATCTTTTCCTTGGGCTGGGGAGATGGTTCAGCAGTTAAAAGTGCTTATTGCTCTTGTAAAGGACCTAAGTTGGGTTCCCAGTCTCAATGTCCAGTTCCAAGGGCTACAGTGCCTGCTTCTGGCCTCTGAGAGCACTTCATCCAAATGGTACACACACACACACACACACACACACATACACACACACACACACACACACACACACACACACACACACACTTAAATAAAATCATTCTCATAAAATTAAAGATGGTTAGAAGCAATAAGTTGCTATCTAGACACCGATACTGAAAGTTTTGTCCTTTTATGAACCTAAGTGACTCCTAGATGAGTTCTGTTAAACAATAACTATTTTAAAATCTTGGCAATTGTTCGTCCTCCCCAAAAGTGTTACCAGCTTGAAAGCAATGAAAACTAGTTCCTTTCATCTAAATAAATAATGATTAAATGATACATGAAAGTCAGTGGCTGCAGGAAGTGGCACAGAATTATCATTATAATAAAATGTGATTGTTTTGCAAACATTTACTTTACAACAACAAAAAAAATTAGACATTTAGGCTTGCCTTAGTTTTTACCTATTAGAGTTATAGTTACTAAAAAGATAGGAAAGCAGCACATAATAGAATTCTCAATATTCCATTAGGATATCCAGGTTGATAGAAAGCTCTTTCACATAATAAATACAAAGTAACCATAGCAACTGCTCATAAGTTCTTTGGTCATATGAAAAAATATCTTGGCTCTTTGGTGCTTTCCAATTCCTTTTGGAGAGTGATTAACACTGAAAATATAAAAATCAAATAAAACACTTAGCACCAAGAATAATAAAACATAATGATATTTTAAAATATGAATAATTCTGTTTCCTTTCCCCAGGCCTCTGTGGGTCGAGTTCCCTAATGACTTAGAGACTTTTGGTGTGGATGATGAATACATGCTGGGTAAGTATTTATAGGTTAATTATAGTTGTGATAGATGCTATAACTATGTTTTTATTATATTTTCTAATAAGACTACTTTAAGCCCAAGAAAGACAACAATTAAAAAAAAAGATTCCTTCACTTTTTTTTTTTTTTTTTTTTTTTTTTTTTGAGTCAGAGTCTTATTTAGCCCAGGCTGTCTTGGAACTTACTGTGGGATGATGTTGACTTCTGATCCCAAGTGCTGGCATTAGAGGCATGCCTCATTACACATGGTACTGGGGATTGGACCTGATACCTCCTCATGCATGCTAGACAAGTACTCTACCAACTCAGCCACACCTCCAGTCCTCCTTCACCAGAGGTTTTTTTTTTTTAATTTTTCGAGACAGGGTTTCTCTGTGCAGCTTTGTGCCTTTCCTGGATCTCGCTCTGTAGACCAGGCTGGCCTCGAACTCACAAAGATCCGCTTGCCTCTGCCTCCTGAGTGCTGGGATTAAAGGCGTGCGCCACCACCACCCAGCCCACTAGAGTTTTAATTTGATAGTGAGACTATGGCTCTAGTCTGTTGTAATGTGGCCCTTACAATATAGTTCTTTTGGTTTTGGTGTTTTGGGTTTTGTTTTGTTGTTGTTTTGTTTTGTTTTCTGAGACAGGGTTTCTCTGTGTAACAGCTCTGGCTATCCTGGAACTTGCTCTGTAGACCAGACCAGGTTGGCATTGAACTCACAGAGATCCACCTGCCTCTACCTCTCGAGTGCTGGGATTAAAGGCATGCGCCACCACTGCCTGGCTTACAATATAGTTCTTATTAATGCCAAATAAATCCATTGTATTGGTGGGTGTGATCTGAGGGTTCTGCTTGGGGCCTACTCCCCCAAAACTTGGTGATACTGCTATAGGAAGGGAAGTATGAAAAGTAGATCAGAGGGCTATAGTAAAGACATAGAAGACTTGTTTCATGTGTAACAGTAGACCTCTTTTTTTTTTCCTTGTGAGACAGGGCTTTGTAGCCCAGGTTATCCTTGAACTTGTAATCCTCTTCATCAATGTCCAGATTGCTGAAATTGCAAGCTTATGCCACTATGGCTAGCTAGGCTTCTTTAATGAGGATGAACCGTGAAATCTAGAACATGGAAGTTTACTGTATTAAGAATGGAGCTCAAGAAACAAGGCCAGATATTGAGACCCAAAGAATGAATTGCATTGTAATAGTAGAAACCTCCAAATGTAAATAATGATAACGATAATAACAATTACAGTAACAAGAATCCTTGAAGATATCATTCAGGGCATGCTCTTGTATAACATGCACAAGGTTCTGTGTTCAATTCCTGGCACTTGAGGCTTCAGCTTAATAGCCACTGCCTTGGAGAAATGTCTTTCATTATTCCTTACTTCCTTATACCTTAGTTTTATCCTCCCCACTCAAAGTCAGTCCTGCCTCTTAGGTAATTTTCATTTTGCTTTGTACTTTTACCTCTTTCAGTATTTGTTTTAACCCTAATTCACTTGTAATTACCTTTTAATGTCTGTCTTTCTCGTTACTACAAACTTCATGAAGGTTGGAGCCATGTTTTTTTTCTTTACGCCTATGTCCCCAGAGCCTAGCATGGTGCCTGGAACTCAGTGAATAAATCTTTATTGACCAGAAGAAACAATTCAAGAGAGGCATAGTGGCGCATGCCTCAACACTCACAATACTACGGCAGGAGGATCATGAGTTCAAGGTGCCTGGGTTACATAGTGAGACCCTATAAATAAAGCTTTAAAGTGAATTAATTAGTAGATGCACTTTACACATGTGTAACACCAATATGAAAGAAAAGTAACACTCCAGGCTGTCCTTGAGAGAAGTACAGATCTGCAATGGTAACCGTGTGTTGGGATAATCTTTTTGTACACTGTGAAGATGTGTCTCTGCCAAGGCCCCTTCTGATTGGTTTAATAAAGAGCTGAATAGCCAATAACTAGGCAGAAGAGGCCAGGACTTCCAGGGGGAGAGAGAGGATCTCTGGGGAAGAATCTGAGAGGCGGTGAATTCGCCAGTGAGACCCAAAGCAAGTTGGATGTACAATATGGAAGAGAGGTAATGAGCCACGTAGCAGAACGTAGACTAATATAAATGGGTTAATTAAGTTATAAGAGCTAGTTGAGAACAAGCCTAAGCTAAGGCCAAACTTTTTTACTTGATAAAAGGTCTCTGTGTCATTATTCGGGAGCTGGTGGTCTAAAGAAAGTCCGATGACAGTAACTGTGCAAGCAAAAGGGCCTGAAGCGTCGTCCTGGCCAGACTTGTAGATAGCATGCGCTCACTCTAACAGCGTATTCGTAGCAAACCATGAAGCACTTGGGAGGTGCCGTGGAGCTTTTGGATTGTTGGCATACCAGGAGGTATGCAGAAAATGACACTGAAGCTGAGCATGGCTGCTCAAGCCTGTAACCCTAGCATTCAAAAAGCTGAGGCAGGAGGATCATCCTAAGGCCAGCCTGGGATGCAGAGCAAGTTCCAGGTCAGTCTTGGCTACACAGCAAGACCTGTCTCAAAAAAAAACCTAAAGCAAATAAGCACACAAGGTGCAACAGAATATTTCAGAGTCCCTGCCCATCATCCTAACAGCCACAGGTGGGTTGAATCCGGTACCTTTTTCAGCCCTGTCCTTTTTCTACCAGTGCTTCTCTCTGGTGAATCGTTCAGCTCACATAGTCTCTGCCTTATAGAAGATCACGTGATCTTAAGATCACAGTAGTGTCCAGCGAAGTGAAAGGAGCTTCCAGATCTCCTGTAAATACACTCAGTTTTATCTTCTCTCCATTTTTCAGGAAGTGCTGTCTTGGTTCATCCAGTCACAGAACCACAGACCACCATGGCCGATGTATTCCTGCCAGGGTCAACTGAGGTAAGAGCAATAACAGACATATCCTGTGTCTCCTAGCTCTCACGCCTGCATCTCTCTTGGGAAGGAGATTGCTTCAGCTTGCCGTTGTGAATTTGCCTTAGGTGACCGTAGGTTTTCCCCAGTCATGACTGTTCTCTGCAGTTGACAAACTTAATGGGGGAAGGTGGAGAAGATGAATAGGTGACGACAACCTTAGGGTGGTTTTTGCTTTCTCACTTTGACTTGTATAAGTGAGTCCTTATGGAGATGGGGGGCATGGCCTTAAGGTAGAGGATTTATTCCACCCAGTACTTTGTGGGACTCTTTTTGATAGTTCAACAACTAACCTCCTTTGCTCGGGCTCCCAGATAAGAGTTAGGACCTTGTCTTGGAATCTCCTACTCATCCCCTAAAGAGGCAATGCTGTAGGGGTAATCAGGTTCCCGTGGGTTTCCCTCCAGGTCTGTTTCTTCTCTGATGCTCTTCTTTTCTCTGCCTCATGTCTGCTTGATTTGTTTGCTGTGTGCTTTCCTTTCCTTGTTTTTTCCTACTTACAGTTACAAGTCTTGAGTTGGTTTATTTATTGTGTGTGCACGGTGGGGAAGGTGTGTGTGTCAGTGTGTGCACGGTGGGGAAGGTGCGTGTGTCAGTGTGTGCACGGTGGGGCAGGTGCGTGTGTCAGTGTGTGCACGGTGGGGAAGGTGCGTGTGTCAGTGTGTGCACGGTGGGGAAGGTGTGTGTGTCAGTGTGTGCACGGTGGGGAAGGTGTGTGTGTCAGTGTGTGCACGGTGGGGAACGTGTGTGTGTCAGTGTGTGCACGGTGGGGCAGGTGTGTGTGTCAGTGTGTGCACGATGGGGAAGGTGTGTGTGTCAGTGTGTGCACGGTGGGGAAGGTGCGTGTGTCAGTGTGTACACGGTGGGGAAGGTGCGTGTGTCAGTGTGTGCACGGTGGGGCAGGTGCGTGTGTCAGTGTGTGCACGGTGGGGCAGGTGCATGTGTCAGTGTGTGCACGGTGGGGCAGGTGCATGGGTCACAGTGTGCAGGTAGAGATCAGAGACCATCGTGGAGTCAGTTCTCTCCTCCCCACTCCGTGTGAGTTCTGGGGAGCAAACTCAGGTGTCCAGGCCTCACCATTGTCTTCTGAGACACCTCACCAGCCCAAGCAAGAAGTTTGTACAAGTCAGTGGACTACTGTGTCACACTGCAACTCCCAGGACGAGAGTTTTAATTTTTTTCCCTTCCCCCACCCCTTTTTTTCTCTTAAATGTTGATTTATTTGGGGAGGGAGCATGCAGAGGCAGAGGGCAGATGCAAAGGGACAGGAAAATAAATGGGATCAAGATACATGATGTAAAAGACACATAGAAAGAACCATGGAGGCATCATCTCGTCTTTCACTCACACCAAGTTCCTAGCTATCATGCATATCTAGCACCTAGCACAGTGGTGTGTTGGTGGAAGTTTCTGTCCTGCCAGCAACTCCCAAATACCCAGCAGCCACTTCCCAAATAATTAACTCAGAGGTTTAATGTTACTTATAAATGCTTGGTCTGTAGCTCAGGCTTATTACTAATTAGCCCCTTCACTTAAATTAACCCATAATTCTTATCTATGTTTAGCCACATGGCTTGGTACCTTTGCTCAGTACAGCATTCTCATCCTTGTTTCCTCTGTGCCTGACTAGCAACTCCTGACTCCACTCTTCCTCTTCCCAGCATTCTTAGTTTGATCTCCCCGCCTACACTTCCTGCCTGGCTACTGGCCAATCAACGTTTTATTAAACCAATTCGAGTGACAAATCTTTACAGAATACAAGAGAATTATTCCACAGCAGTGGTGGGCTGTTAAATAATTAACTTTTGAATGTACAGATGGACAAGGAATGGTCTTTAGTCTATCAATCATACCCCTTTGGTAACTTCTTCCTCTTCCTCCTCCTCTTTCTCTTCTTTTTGAGATGGGGTCTCATGTATCTCAGGCTATCTTTGAAATTTAAGATGAACTTGAACTTCTGATCCTCCACCTAGGGTTACAAGCATGTACCACCATGCCCAAGTACTACCATGCCCAAGTGCCACCATGCCCAAGTGCCACCATGCCCAATTTATCCTATGCTGAGGATTGAACACTGGGCTTTGTGCATGCTTTGGGATTTTCTCTCCTTCTTCTTCTTCTTCTTCTTCTTCTTCTTCTTCTTCTTCTTCTTCTTCTTCTTCTTCTTCTCCTCCTCCTTTTTGAGACAGGGTTTCTCTGTGTAGCCTTGGCTGTTCTGGAACCCATTTTATAGACCAGGCTGGCTTCATACTCACAGAGATCTGCCTGCCTCTGCCTCCTGAGTCCTGGGATCAAAGGCGTGAGCCACCACTGCCCAGCTTGGATTTTCTTAAAAGAATACGTGGGATCTAGTAATGCAGGCCCATAATTCCAGCAGGAAGATTACAAGGCCTAGCTGGGCTACATAGTGAGTTCAAAACCAGCCTGGGTAACTTAGTAAAACCCTGTGTCCAATAACAAGTAAAGAGAACAGGAGATACACTTCAGTGGTAAATTCCTTAGGATGCCTGAGACCTTAGGTTCAATCCCAAGTAGCACATGTGCATGTGAATTACACACACACACACACACACACACACACACACACACACACACACATACACACACGGGGTTGGGGGTCTTCTTTCTAACTTCTCCCACAAATTTTAATTATATGTATTGAACTTTCTTTTTATTCCTTCCTTCCTTCCTGGGATTGCAAGACAGCTTTATTATAGGGCAGAAGGAAATAGTCACTGGGTAAGTGCAGGCTTTTCAGGAGAGAGATTGCTCATACTCTCTTTTCAATAGAGTCTGCTACTTTTTAGGTCTGGTATGACTCTAAGACATTTACACAGTGGAAAGGAGGGTGTACTGTGAAGATTCCAGTAACCTTGGATACTGTAAGTTATTTTCAGAGTATTATTTTTACCTATTTAGCTGCATTGGTCTGTTCAGAATACAGCCTGGGTGGTAGACAACAGAAATTTATCTGCCCATAGTTCTAAAGGTATAAGACCTATATCAAAGTGCCAGCTGACTCAGGTCCTCCTGGCATGCGGGGGTGATGGGACGGGGAGAGGAAGGGGACAGTGTTCTTGTAAATGGGGCTGGAGAGTTGGCTCAGTGGTTAAGAGTGCTGTTGCTCTTGCAGGGGACCTAAGTTTGCTTCCCAACACCCATATGGTAGCTACAACCACCTGCAGGTGATCCAACACCTTCTACCTCGCCCCCACAGGCACCAGGCACACATGTGGTGCACATACATACATACATACAGGCAAAACACTTACATAGTTAAAATAAAATAAAAAAATAAGAAAGTATTCTTGTAAGGATACTGTTCCTATCATATCAGGACTTATCCGTATGACCCTGTCTCCAGATATAGTCACTTCAGTGTGTGGGGCTTCAGCATATGAATGGGAGGCACAAGCATCCTGTTCATAATGTATTTCTGTAAAAAGCGAACCAAGGGTGTTAGCGTTTGACATAATAACATGTACATGCACACACAGCCTTGGGCTGTGCGTGGGAGAGGATTTGGGAAGCAATGGGAGTGACTGCTGAAGGGTATAATTTTCTTTTAGAGGGGTTGATAGGATTTTAAAATTGACTGTGGCTAGGGTTACATGACTCAATATATTGAAGTGGTTCGTGTAAATTTTGAAGCATATGAATTATACCAATAAAGCTGTTAAGATATGTAAAGAGTTTAAAAATATATATACTCTGACTCATGGCATGGAATATTGAGGATAAACAACTCTTTCCTGTATATCTACTCGGTGTCTAAGAACAGTACAGTGAGAACAGAAACAGTGGGCTCTGCAATGCCAAATACCATGTCAGGAAGTGAGAGGAGCAACTCTGGGCCTCCAGGCGAGAGAACGCATCAGTTATGAGATTAGACTCAAAGTGGCCATCCCCCTGAATCACAGCATGACCACAGGCCCTGTAGAATGAAGATTAATAGAATGGTGGTGTTATTTTTCCAAATTGTCATCCAAGGTTTCTTATAAAGAAAGTGGTTTCAGACATCAACTTTCAGATCCAGAAGAGACCTTAGTAATCTTCTAGCCTAATCCCTTTGTCTTAGTCACTGTTCTGTTGCTGTGAAGGGACACCATGACCAAGGTAACTCTTATAAAAGAATTTATTTAATTGGAGGCTTGCTTACAGTTTCAGAGGCTAAGTCCATTATCATCATGGCAGGAAGCATGGCAGGTTGCAGGCATGGTGCTGGAAAAGTAGCTGAGAACTACATCCTGGTCTGCAAGCAGAGAGAGACACTGGGCCTAATGAGGGCTTTTGAAACTCCAAAGCCCACCCCTAGGGACACACTTCCTCTAAAAAAGCACACCCCAGTCCTTCTAATTCTTTGAAATAGTACCACTCCCTGGTGACCAAACATTCAAATATATGAGCCTATGTGGGCCATTCCTATTCAAAGCACCATGCCCTTCATTTGCACATGAAGAAACTGATAAAAGTGAATTTTTTTGTCCAGAATCACTACTGGGTTGTGGCAAAGACAAGTCCCTCCCACTCCCTGTAAGTTTTCTGAACTCTGAGTCTGCAGCCCATCCCACTGTGACTTTGTTCTTTGGGGTTGTTTGTTTGTTTGTTTAAAGAAGGAAGGAATAAAAAGAAAACAAAAAGAAAGTTGGCTTTCCCTCTTGCTGCTTGTGAATTAAGTTGGGGGAGCACATCTTGACTACTCTCTCTCCAAATCACACATGTTCTTGTCCTCTCCTCTTTGCTAACACTTTACTCAGAGAAGCACAGGCACTCCTGTGATCTGGGTGACTCCTTACCAGCAGCAAGAAGCCTACCAGGCTCTCCTGCAGAGAGCCATAGCAAAGGACTGGTAGGTGGAGGCCACACCCACACCCATGCTGTTAGCATCACCTCACGTTCTGTGATGGTTACTGGAGCAGAAGCAGCTTCTGAGCCTCAGAATTGAGGCAGTCATCCTGCTGACCCAGACAAGCAGGAAAAGAAAAGAGTACAGACGTGGTGAGAAAGGGCATAAGTCACCTCCTCAGACCCAGAACACTTTGTGTACACTAGTACTATTGGGCCCACTTACATAAACAGAAAAACCCATTCTTTAGCATGTCTCTAGAATAACATGCTTGTTATTTTATTGACAAGGATGTTAAAGATCTAAAATAGAAGTCCTTTCTGATCAAGTTGAAAAACGAGTTATTTTTTGGAGTCCTCTGGGCCTCTAATAGGATGAGCAGAATAAAATTCATCATTTAAATGAAAAAGGCAAGTTAGTTTTTGTCAACTTGACATAAACTAGAGTCACCTGGGAAGAGGGAGCCTCAGTTGAGGAACTGCCTCTGTCAGATTGGCCTGTAGCAAGTCTGTGTGGCCTTTCCTGGATTGTTGATTGATGCTGGAGGGTCCAGCTTACTGTGGGTGGTACCACCCCAGGGCAGTGGTCCTGGGAGGTATAAGGACAGTAGCTGAACGTACTCCCGGAAGGAAACCATTAGCAGTGTTTCTTCGTGATCTCTGCTTCAGTTCCTGTCTCCGGGTTCCTGTCTTGACTTCCCTTGACCAGGGACTATAAGCTGGAAGATGATATAAACCCCTTTCTCCCCACCCCCAATTTGCTTTCCGTCAAGTGTTTTATCACAGCAACAGAACCCAAGCTGAGACAGACAGGTATAGTTAATAAATTGGGGGATGGTAGATAATTGCCCCAATAATTTAAAATATGACTTGGGGCCAGCGAGTTAGCTCAGGGCTTGTCATGCAAGTCTGACAACCTCAGTTCAATTCCCAGGACCACATGAAGACATGTGTAAAGAGAGAACTGACTTCACAAAGTTGTCTGCTGACCTTCACACACATGCCATGACATGGATGTGTCACACGCACACATACACACACAGCAATAATAACAAATAATAAATAAGTAATCATTTTAATGGACCATATTTTTAGTTTTCTTTTAATTCCACAGTCCCCGTGCTTGCCATTTCCCTGCCCACAAATATTCTTTGCTTGAGTCTATATCTGTAAAGAGTTCGGATCTCATATGGTGAAATATTTAAAAATTCTACTTGGAAAGTTTCTTGTATGGGTATGTTGCCCCTGAGAGTGCTGCTCTGTTGCAGATACCAGTGTTTCAACGAGGCGGAAGTGTGGTACCAATAAAGACTAGTGTGGGAAAGTCCACAGGCTGGATGACTGACTCCCCATATGGACTCCGGGTTGCTCTAAGTACTCAGGTATTTGGAAAACCCGTTACCTCTCCCCCTTCTATTCCATCTGTTGGCCTTTTGAGGGTATGAAAAAGTAATGAATCTTGTACAAAATAGTGCCCCTGGTGTTTATCTCAAAAATCAAGGGCTGAATCATTTCTGAATCTCTGTGAAGTCTGCCCTTCCTAGCATTTTTCTTAGGAATGCTGAGATCCAGGAATATGCAAATATGTTTCTTGGGCATGTAATGTCTCTCTCTCAGGTTGGCATTACTAGAATAACATTTATTATGCAGCCTGCCCCTGAAGATTAGTTCTGAAACACAGTCTCCTACAGAAGAGGGTCATAAAACAATGAGTCTTAACTATTTTGGGTATACCTAACCCATTCAGTGACTTCTGTTCTCATCAGGCAGCTCAAATCACTAATGTCTCCTTGAGTATGGCTTTGGAGTGTTGAGAGTGTCTTCTGAGCCAAGTGAAGCCTGTGTTATACACATCTCTTATCCATTTACCCTAATACCTTACAGAGCCAAATACATATTCTTGTTATAGTTATGTTTATATTAATATTGTGAAATAGGTAAATTACAGCTTTCTTTTCCATGTACTTTATTGAAACTTGTCTTCTTCAGCCAAACTATGGTCTAGGGTCCATGTGGGGTCCCAGAATGAATGCAATAAGCTGGAGACCCACCCTGCAGCAAACACTGTTGATAGGTAACCTGCCATGTGGAGGGCTATAGTGTTTGGCTGCAAAAGGGTTCCTCCCCCTTTGAGTAGGAAGGGCTTCTAAAGACAGTTGATTTCATCTTTTTTTTTTTAATGATTTTTTTGTAATTTATATAACTTTATTTTATGTGCATCGGCATGAAGGTGTCAGATCCCCTGGAACTGGAGTTACAGACAGCTGTGAGCTGCCATGTGGGTGCTGGGAATTGAACCCAGGTCCTCTGGAAGAACAGCCAGTGTTCTTAACCACTGAGCTATCTCTCCAGCCCCCTGATTTCATCTTTTATACAATGATATTTTCCAAGTTCTGTGAACTTTCTTGTCACATTCTAGGAAAGTATTTTCACGGAAGCCGTTACTGATCATACTTCACATTTAAATTTCCTTCAACAAAGTCTAACCCTTTGTGCTCCTCTATGAAACCTCGCTGTTCATGTTATTTTATTATCTGCTCAGGAGTGACTGGATAGTGAATGTGTAAGGAACTTGTGTGTAATTGTGCAGCTTGGATACTTACCTTTTCAGACTTCTTACTGATTTTCAGAAGTTACTCTTTCCTTTTAGAAGATGACTTTTTTTTTTTCCTATAAAACTTGCCATTAGCCAATCCTCTGTGATTCGCTCTGCAGGCTTCTGCAGAGGGAGAGCTGTATCTTGATGATGGCCATTCATTCCAGTACCTCCACCAGGACCAGTTCTTACGCCGCAGGTTTTCCTTCTGTTCCGGCGTTCTGACCAACAGGTGAGGCAGCTGGCTACAAGGCCGCGACTCTTCTTCGATTATGCTACCCTCCTGGCTTCTTCAACTAAGTGGATAGCTCAAGTTTTCAATTACCGTTTGGCAGTTTGAGAGCTGGCCTATGGGTTAAAGAGCCCTGGTTGCTCTTGAAGAGGACCCAAGTTCACTTCCCAACACCCATATGGTCTGTAACTCCAGCTGCAGGGGATCTGACCTCCCCCCTTCTGACCTGTAAGGGCATGTATTACATACATGTAGCCAAAACATTCATGTTCATAAAATAGAGATTACTAATAAAAAGTCTTGAAGCTATTATTTAGATAAATGAGTGGTGACGGCCATTTGTGTTTTCAGTTACTGACCCTGAAAGCTCCTTGTTTCTTGTCCTTATCTTCTTTTCCCCAGCTGCCTACAAAATAAAACTACTTAGCTTAAGTACTCGCTAATACCGTCATTCTTCCATGCACCAATTAATTAAATACCTGCTTTCCTTTGGTTTGATTATAATCTCCAAGCTATGCTGTGTCTTTTGTGTCCTTCAAACAATTTAGGGAGATTAATGTGGTCCCTGATTCCCTAGTCCCTGGTGCATACAGCCATCTGATTTCATCTCTGTCCTACTGAATGTGGCTCCTGTATGGACCGTGAATCCATAGAGACAGACAGGGAGAACTCACAAGGATGAAGATGTTGACCCGGTGACCAGTTAAAAATTCCATGTCTCTCCTTTTCCTAATACCGTCTGTGTCTGTTCCAGGTGTGCTGATGAGAAAGGTCACTATCCCAGCAAGTGCGTAGTGGAGCAGATCTTGGTCTTGGGCTTTAGGGAGAAGCCATCTTCTGTGACTACCCACTCATCTGGTAAGCAAACGGTTCGTTCTCACTTGAGCATTTGTCCTGTAAACACAGAAGTATCTGCTGTGAAGAGATGGTTTGTTCCCAGACTGTCAAACAATGCTTAGCTAAGGCAATCTCTGTCCTTTCTGGGTTGGTTCTCTAGTCTCTAGAGTGAGCAGGGCTAATCTGCTTCTCTCCATGAATTGGTCTTTCTGCCCACAGTTAACATAAGAGACATTATTGAAGGCCCGTAATAGTATTCTAGGTGTTTCTTAATTTGTAATAGGGTACAGGCATCTTCAGCTCTGGAGATTCTTAGTGTTTTAAAGGACTAACGTGAGGGATGGTGTAGAATTGTGCCTTCCCTCCCCTCCTGCATGTCTTGAACAGATCACTCTGTTCCTTATAGTTTCTTTCCAACCTGGAGTATACTCCAAACAATTAGACTTTTCATGTTTTAAAACATTCACAGGAAGTCATGAATAAAAGTGCTACCTGGTTCTCCTACGTGAGATGTAACATCGTTTGAGAGCACCAGACAACGAATCAGATTTGGAGGAGAAAAAAAGTTTTTTCTCCTGGTTTCTCACAGTGTCTTTCTATTGTTTTGCTATTTAGATGGTAAAGTTCAGCCTGCAGCTTTTACATACTACGACAGAACATCCGCCCTGAGTCTGGAGAGACTTTGCCTGAGTGTTGTTGATGACTGGGAGGTCCATATCAGATGATAAGCCGGTGCCCTGGTGATGAGGGTGGGGGCCTCCTGACCGCCCACCCTTCTGTGAGATCTGCGCCGCCATCTAATTTCTTCCCTGGAAAAAATGACATTTCGCTTCTCTCTGGTGTGCGATGACCAGTAGATTTCAGATTTGAAGATTTCAGGTGCAGTGACCCACTCCTGTAATCACAGCACTCAGGAAGCTAAGGCAGAAGGATCGTGAATTCAAGACCAGCTTAAGCTCCATCACAAGACCTTGTCTCAAAAAGTCAAAAAGAAGATTTCAAATTTTACATCTGAAGATGTATTGTTGACACACTGTACACACAGTGCCTGTCCCACAGATCCACAAAGCCCTGAGCCATTGATAGAGCTCGGTGAGCAGCCTGACCTGGAGCCACTCAGGAGGCCCATTTGCAGGGCTTGCCTCGGGCTGTGCAGCACAGTCCCTCTGGCTGTTGCAACAGCAGAGTTGCCCAAACCAACCTCCAAATAGATGGCAGTGCCTGGTACTCTCAGGGTGCCTTCCCCCACAGCAGCGCAGGCCCAACGGTGCCCTCTCCTGCAGACACTGCATGGGCCGGGCTTCGGAAAGCGCTCCCTAGAGAGTGAGTCAGGAGCACAAGGGTTTGTGTCCCTTTCTTAGACTTAGACTCCAAAGTACCAAGTCAATCTTCAAGTTCAGATTTACTCCTTTTAATTATATTTTACTAACTACTCTCTACTAACCAAAGAATATTTATAACACGAGTAAGCTATAATTAGTAATAATGAAATAAATATCCATGTCCCACAAGTGAAACTTCAAAAATAGAGCACAGGCTTGGGACTCTAATAACACAAGTAAGAGGCCCTTGTCTCAGACACAGTCAATAATCAAAATAAGTAATATTTAATACACTGTCTTTAAAAATCAAAATGAATACAAAAAAAACTCCAGGCTAAGCAAAAGATTTTCAATAGAGACAGCTCAGTGTTACTGACTTCCTTCAGCACTGGATTCCAGTATGGCTTGGCACGGGCTTGAATATTGCAGCACAGCAGTTGCATCACAATGCCTCTGGCTCTGGGGACCCCAGGACTCCCTGCTGTCTGCTTCAGCAGCTATTGGGGAGGCCTCAGTTCCGCAGCATATGGGCCTCTCACTACATTTCTTCCACTTAGCTACCTGCCTTCCCTTTCCTTAACCACAGTACCCTCCCTTGCCTCCACCAACACACATCTTACCACCCTTCCAGAGCCAATCCAAATCCTACTTTTCCATGAAGACTTCTAACCTGTCACCCCAACCCCCCAGTGCCCACTGGCAGTGATTTTACCCTTCTCTGAAATGCTGCCCCACAAATAATTGTGCCCTACTTTGCATTCTCAAGGATGTGCCTTAGTACTATAAGTAGGACTGTGTATTTCCCTACTGGAGTGTATGTTCCTTAAGATCATGTTATGTTTCTCTCATATCTCATATATTTCAAACTGTGGTAGTTTGAATGAAAAATGCCCCCCATAGGCTCATATGTTTGAACACCTGGTCCCCCACTGGTGGCACTGTTTGGGGAGGTTGTGGAACTTTGAGGAGGTACATCCTTACTAGAAGAAGTGTGTCACTGAGGGTGGGCTTTGATCAGCTATAGCCTCATTCTAGGTCCTGTTTGCTTGTTCTGCTTCCTGTGTGCAGTTGAGTTGTGAGCTTTATCTCAGCCACCTGCTCCAGCACCTGCTGCCAATGCCTCCTTTGCTGTTATGGACTCTCCCTATGGGATGTAAGCCAAAATAAACTCTTCTATAAGTTGCTTTTGGTCATGGTGTTTTATCACAGCTTTCCTTTTCGTTTGCTTCCTGGTCATGAGGTAGATGTTTTTGCTTTGCCACAAGTTTCTCCAATGGGCCTTTTTACAGGCCCAAAACTGTAGACAAATTTCTAAACAGTCTTATTAAATAAGAAACACAGAGCCAAATACAGGGGTGAAAGCCGTAGAGATCAGAGTGATAGCCACCAACTAACCTTAGCTCACCACCCCACCGTAGCTTCCCAAGAGAATCAAACCAGCTTCTTCCTGTTTAACCTGTACCTTTATTGCCTTGCTGTTCTGCCCTCTCATTGGCTCTAAGCCCAGCCATCACTTCCTCGTCACTGCCTGTCTATACAGGCCTCCAGGTCTCTATGGTTGGTACTGGGATTAAAGGCGTGTGTCACCACGCTTGGCTGTGTCCTTGAACACACAAGACTCTGTGATTGGATTAAGGGCATGTGCTACCACTGCCTGACTTTTGTTTATGGCTGGCTATGACCTCTGATCTCCAGGCAAACTTTATTTATTAACATACAAATAAAATATCACCACACAAAACAATGGAGCTAATTGATATGGGCAGGAACCTCTAAAACTGTGAGCCAAAATAAACATTTTTGTCCATATACGTTAATCTTCTCATTTGTTTTGTTGTAGAGATGGACAGCCAATTGACACCATGAATGAAAAACCATTCAATCCAACCTAACCCCAAAGTGATATTAAATTCAGACCTTTTCTAACTACTTGCTGAGTGCTTAAGACATCCTAACACAGTTTTAAATGCATTACATGAGTTAACTTGTTTAATCCTTACACCAACCCAACTATGGAACGACTCTCATCATACCAGTTTTAGGTGAGAGAAGACTCACAGGAGGAAAGGATGAGGTAACTCAGCTAGAGCTACACACTCGCAGCCCGGAGTGGCCAACCTAGCCTTTGAACCTGGACAGCCAGCCTTCAGAAACTGCTCTCCTCTAGTCTCCTTCAAGAGTAGTGATACCTCAGGCCTTTTCTTGGAGGGACAGGAAGACAAGCTGATGGTTCCAGTAACCGAGACATAGGGTTCCTTCAAGTTACATTACCAAGATTCATAAGCCTATCATACTCCCTTTGTGTGTGTGTGTGGGGGGGTATATGTGTGTATATGTGTTTTTGTGTGTGAGTGTGAGCATGCACATGTACACATGAACCCTGGCACACACAGAGGACAACCTGGGGTGTTGGTCCTTGCCGTCTACCTCTTTTGCTGTTTGCTGCTGCACAGGCTGACGGCCTGGCCTGTGGTAGGGCTCCTCTGTCTGTGTTTCCATCTCTGTAGATACACTGGGATGGCAGACATGCTACTGCACCTAGCTTCACGGGCGAGCTCAGGCCCTCTCAGTGTCTGGCCAGTGCTTTGTCACTGATCCATCTCTCCTACCCCGTGCCCCCTATTTCAGCTGCCACTTCCTACCCTTTCCTGTGTCTTCTAAACTTGGATCTGTGAAACTGGTCACTTAGGAATAGGCACAGCTGCAAGCGGAGACAAGCCTCTACTCAGCCAGACAGATGTATGCATCTCATTATGCTGCGGAGAGCAACCACCACGGGTAAAAGCCAGGGGAAGCTCTGGCAAGCAGTTCCCTGCCCCGGCCACCGTCATTCTCATTTCCATGCCTTGAAGCCCAGTCTAGACATGACATCCTTGACATCAGCCTGGCTCAGTGTCCATGCCCAGCTTCTGTCTAGAGGCTGATGTGGTGTGGCTAAACAATCTGCTAGGATGCACACTGCGGAGTAGACTTGATCTCAGTGTGTGTTTGGGGGTAGGAAGAGGCAGGTGTCTAGGTCCAGTGCCCAAGAAAAAAGGGATTTTCTTGACTGAAAATTCTGCTGAGTGGCATTTTCTACATTTCAGTTGAACTGAAAGCTGATTCCAGAACATTCTAGAAAAGACACTGACTCTAATATTAAGTGACATTCTGCTATTCTAACATTTCATAAAGTAAAAATCATGTTCTCTAAAACACATGGAATATGCCCCCAGAACTCTCGTGGCTTGGATTCCAGCTAGCTGTTCAAATTCTGCTTTCTGTGCTCCTGGTGACCACTGCTTCCGTAGCCTGTACGGCTGCCTAGTTCCTAACACACTTTGCTGATTTCTGGTGGTCGCCTGTCCCAGATACTCTCATTTCTTGACAACAAGAGTTCCTAGTGTCAGTGTAGAAATATCCAGCTAGGTCCTTCTCTACTACTCGGTCTAGCCGCACACTGGCCTCTGCCTTTCGTGCTCACCATCTCACTTCACGTCTATTTTTAGTTTTCCTGGCTTAAGCTTCTTCAGGCCACTGAAACCCAAGCCTCATTCTCTTTCTCTCCCTCTGGCAAGCATGCTGCTGGTAGAAGCCCCCAGGTAGAAACTGCTTCAAAATCTTTCAATGCCTCTTCCTCGGGAACACCTATGGCTCCAGGATCACAGCTCGGCTCTTTAAGCTGGTCATAAGCCAGCCAACTTGCTGATAGGATTTAAACTCTGAAGAGAATGTGGCCATTTTTCTCTCAGACGAAGGGATCGCTTCAATTTCCGCCTTTGTAATTGCTTCCTTTCCTTGAAGGTGCCTGGGTCTTGTTTTCTTACAAATATCTTCTTTCCAAACTTGCCTGCCATGCCGACCGTCATTAGTGCAACTGTGGCCCCGAGGACAGGGGCTGAGCCCAGGTCCCCAGGGCCTGGTCCTCACCCGGCCCAAGGCAAGACCACCGAGGCCGGAGGTGGACACCCAGGTGGCATCTATTCAGCCATCATCAGCCGCAATTTTCCAATTATTGGAGTGAAGGAGAAGACGTTTGAGCAGCTCCACAAGAAGTGCCTGGAGAAGAAAGTTCTTTATCTGGATCCGGAGTTCCCGCCAGATGAGACCTCTCTCTTTTATAGCCAGAAGTTCCCCATCCAGTTCGTCTGGAAGAGACCTCCGGTGAGTAGTCTACTGGCTTTGGAGCTGGCTGAAGTTTGCCCTCAGAGAAGTCCTCCCACTCAGCACCTCCCCGAGCACAGCTGGGCACATGGGCACAGGGGGAAGGATCCTGGCAGGGGCCTACGGCTCTGGCTGCAAGTGTGGGAAGAGAAGGACAGGGTCAAGTCCAAGAGACGGCTGGCAGGGCAGCTTCTCTCCCCCTTTCTCTCTTTCTGCTTTTCGTGAAAGCAGCCAGATCCCCAATCCATCAACAGAATGGCCATCCCTTCCCCAGAGACAGTTCCAGAATGTCTGGAAATACCTCCTCTGCCTAAATATATTGAGACTGCTTCCATTTCTCAGGCTAAAATCATGAGATGTTGTCCTTCAGTTTGCCAGGGACTGTGGATTTCTGAAGCCAGGAAAAGAGGAGTGAGGCAAAGACTACCTTTTCAAACATAGAATCTTGGGCTTAGAAGAATTTTTGTCTTTTTGGCCAGGCGGTGGTGGCGCACGCCTTTAATCCCAGCACTCGGGAGGCAGAGGCAGGTGGATCTCTGTGAGTTCGAGGCCAGCCTGGACTACCAAGTGAGTTCCAGGAAAGGCGCAAAGCTACACAGAGAAACCCTGTCTTGAAAAACCAAAAAAAAAAAAAAAAAAAAAAAAAAAAAAAAAAGAAGAAGAATTTGTCTTTTTACCTCACTGCATAGATTAGGAAGTCAAGACCCAGCGTGAAACAGACCCGGCACATGATAGGTCCTGGGTGAAACCCTGCTTGCTAGCCTTAGGCTTTCACTTACAGGGATCCACCAGAGGGAAAATTATGTTCCCCTGGCTCCTTTCTCTGATCATGCTTTCAATGTGACTCTTGTATTTGATACAAGAAACATTTTAGTCACAAAATAATCTGGAGCTAGGTATAGAGCTCAGTGATAGAGTGTTGTTTAATATGTCTGAGGCCCCATGTCCTATCCAGGGTACTGCTAAAAAGATAGATAGATAGATAGATAGATAGATAGATAGATAGATAGATAGATAGATAAATGGAGAGGAGGGAAAAGGTAATCACAAAGAGAGAGAAATATTTATTGCACATCTGCTAGCTTCACATACTGAGCAAGTTACTAAGAGTGTCATGAGTAGGAGAGAGAACATACTGTCGTGAAGCCTAGAGTCTTGAGGGGATGGGCATTGAGTCAGAGTGACTGTCGGGACTCAGTGTCCAGAGTGGATGGGATCAAAGAGAGCAGGACATGTCTGGGGAGAGAAACTTTCCACGAAGAAGAAATGCTAGGCTCTTGGCAGGATTCCCTGGCCATGTTTTGTCTCTATTTACTAACTGAATTGTCACTGGGCCCCTCTCCTCCTCTGCTGTTCCTTGGTAAGGCCCACCATGACTGTCATGAATGTCCTCAGTTTAGAAGAGAATGCTGCTGTGGGCCAGGTGTAGCTCAGCACACACCCTGTGTGTGTGAGGCCTCGGGTCCCATCCATGGGGGTGGGCAACCTGATGTGCTTAGACATGCCACACCCCAGCATAAGTCTTAGCTGAGCCGCAGCCCTTCCCAGGCTAGCCCTGCTGGCCTCACCTTCACCTCTTCCCCCAAGCTTGATGCTGCAGCTGAACATCTGGCTGCAGTGCTCTTGCAGGGTTTGGCTGACTGAGTCCTCCTTGCTTTCACTGAATACCTGCTCAAGTGGCACTTCCTTCAAGCTTTCTCTCCTCTCCTGGTGTTGAGAGCGGGGTCTGTTCGTGGTCATTTGTAGACCCAGCACATATACCGAGCACAACAGTACACAAATGATGCTAGTGAATAAAAACCCACATCTAAGGGTCAGACCCAGGACAGTCCTGCTTTCCGAAGTAGAGGCCTTAAAAGCCTAGTCCAATACTGCTCAGAGGGCAAGGGAGCAAAAGCTACACACACTGTCCTTCCTGAAGTCACTGATAGCTTTGACCTTAAAAGCTAGATTTGTACACGTATAAAGGGCCTGTGACGCTCTGGGAGTGACAGCGGTCCCATGTATACACTATCCTGTCGGCACATGTGAACCAGTGTGCTCCAAGAGACCTACCTGGCTGTTTGAGATTGGGCCCCTACCACCATCACCAACAGCAAAGATCCTGAATTTTCAAACCACCTTGGTTGAAATGCCTGTGTATCCTCCCATGGTTCAGATCAGGGCCTAGGGGGGCTGGGAGATGGCTCCTGTGGTTCCCAGCACCTGCAGGTGGTGGCTCACAACTATAGTTTTCCCAGTTCCCAGGGATCTGATGCCTCTTGTGATCTCTGCAGGCTCCAGCACACAGGCAGTACACATACATACATTCAGACACACGTACATATGTACATGTAAAATCAAAGATTAAGGAATATGTCCTATATTAACATAAATTATAAAATGGGTTTAGAGATGGGCAGTTGGAACATGTCAGGGAAGTTTTATCCAAGCACTTCACTTTACATAATAATGGTCCAGAAAGTACAAAGGGTTATTTATGTATGGGTCACACAAATTAAATGAAAAGAGAAAATGGAGATGACTCCAGAATTGTCTGAAATGTAAAGCCATTCTTGAAAACATCCACTCCCCCGTGCACTTCCTTGGACATAGTGACCTCTGTCAGGCCTAAGAGTATGAGAAAGGGACCACGTTCTATGAGGAAACACTAGATGAGGACTTCATTTTGCTGGCATATCCCCTCCCCTGCCTGCTGTTACTGTTATAACCCCATATCCAGCTGTGCTTTGCCCAGCTGTCTAACCTTCACTCCTTGGCCCAGCTAGTTCCCTAGCTGCCAACACCTGGACCTGAAGAAAACTGCCATTCAGACAGAAGGCCCTCAGTACCTCCATTCAATTGACCTATTGCTCGTTACCATCACTGGGAATTTCTTGAGTTAGACTCTAAGGGTGATGTTGAGGTGAGTTTCCCAAAGTGCCATTCATCACCAACCATATTTCACCCAAGTTGAGATTTTCATGCTAGCACTTGCTTGATCTTGGTGTCCACAGGAGGCTTGACAGTGTAAGATGCATTATGATTTCAGAACTGTGGGGGAAAGTAGGAAATGTGAGGAAAAATACTTCACAGGGTGGAAAAAAAGAAGCAAATCAGACACCCCTTGCCCACTCCCATCCCACACCTGACATCCCCAGCCCACAGCTCTCCCTTCCTCCATGCTTCCTACCAGCATGAATCCAGCCACCTTGGCTAGATTTTGCTGCTGTCTGTGTGACCTGGTCTGTGTGCCTCTTCCGGGATCTTCACTATCCAGGCAGAAGTAATGTATCCCCAGTCCTGAGAGTTACTCCAGGAATACAAACGGCAGCAAAAGTACAACAAAAATACAAAACAACAGATCTGTGTGTCAGGAGTTCTGTCTGGTTCTTCGCACATCTTTAGCAAATATACTTCCTCTCTGAATCCCTAACATGGTAGAAACTTTCTGTCAGGAGGAAAAACAGATGGAGAGAGACAGAAAGAGAGAGAGAGAGAGAGAGAGAGAGAGAGAGAGAGAGAGAGAGAGAGAGAGAGAGAGAAAGAGAGAGAGAGAGACAGAGAGAGAGAGACAGAGAGAGAGAGAACTCCCATAACTACAGGTACCTGCAGAGGCCAGAAGAGGGTAGCTGGAGCTGGACTTTTAGGCTGTTGTGAGCAGCCCGATATGGATGCTGGGAACTGGACTCAGGTCCTTTGCAAAAGCAGTATGTACTCTTTAGCCTATGAGCCATCTCTCCAGCCTGCATTATAATTGCATAAAGAGTACTTGAGCCAGGCATGTTGGTACCTGCCTGTAGTCCTAGCTACGGAGGAAGCTGAGGCAGGAGGATTGCTGACACTGTCAAGTTTAAGGTCAGCTTGGGCAATATGAGGACCTTGTCACTTAAAGATAAAAACAAATTAGCAACAATAAAACAATAGATTACTTTGCCTATAGGGGGTGAACATGATGGTTTTTGTTTGGTCAGTTGGTTGGATGTATGGTTGGTTGGTTTTTTGATACAGGGTTTCTCTGTGTAGCCCTGGCTGTCCTGAAACTCACTCTGTAGACCAGACTGGCCTTGGACTCAGAGATCCACCTGTCTCTGCCTCCCGAGTGCTGGGATTAAAGGTGTGTGCCAACATGATTGTTTTCTAGGGAGAAAAAGGAAATAAAAAGAAAAGATCTGCTGGTTGATACATAACAATAATAAAAGCTAGAATGACATGGAGGTAGACTAGGAGAAGCCTGAGGCACACACACACACACACACACACACACACACACACACACACACACACACACAAACATAGAGAGAGCTCCTGGCATTCTCTATGACCTAACACTCTCTGAAGCTGGGAAATACCCCAGACAAGTAACCTTTCGGGAAAGGGCAGACTTGCCCTGCGTCTTGACTTGAAGTGGTGTCGCTGAGCCACCATGCCCAGAAGCCGATGGAGAAGGCACAGGCGTATGGAGAGAGAAGGGCAAAAGCAAGGGAAACGGACTCCCTGAGCTCTGGGGTGGGGGAGACTGAGGAGGAGGCCCTGCTGCTCAGAGGCTGTGGGTTAGGTCTCCAAGGATGCCCCAAGGCCACTAGCACTGGGGAAGCATTCTTGTTACTCCTGAACGCCAGGAGCATAGCGTGAAAACCAATAATCACTCACCGAAGATCCAGGAGCAAAACGTTGAAGAACCACTTTCAACATTCTGAGGTAGTTGGCTCTCCTCCCGACATGAAGATTTTTTTTTTTTTTTTTTTTTTTTTTGGTTTTTTTCGAGATAGGGTTTCTCTGTGTAGCTTTGCGCCTTTCCTGGAACTCGTTTTGGAGACCAGGCTGGCCTCAAACTCACAGAGATCCTCCTGCCTCTTCCTCTGCCTCCCAAGTGCTGGGATTAAAGGCGTGCGCCACCACTGCCCGGCTTGACATGAAGATTTTGAAGGGCAAAGGATCTCTCTTTCCATAAGCTACATGCCCTGATTTCTGCTGTTGGAGAGCTCTTCATTTCTAGTTGGAAGTCGTCTGGCTGCAAC